GGGGAAGCTGCGCCTATTGTCAGGGGAAGGCAGGTTTTTATAGGATGGGAAGAGGGAAACCGGGCTTGCAGGTAACGAGGAACAGTTGTTTTCTGATGGTATCAGCAGGTCCTCATTCTCGCCCCTAAGTGGGCTTCCTACCAGATGCCTTTTTGCCCTATTAACTCTGGTTCCCATCAGACCTGTCCTGTTCATTGCACCACAGAGCCAAAATTTGTGAAATTCAAAACAAAACAAAACAAACATTTTACTTCCCAGCCTCCTCCATCTTGAGGACTCCGAGGATGCCAAACAAACTCGGAGGCTTCATCAGCTCTGTCGTGGCCCTCATGTTACGGTGAACGGCCCCTCCTCTCCTGCCCTCTCAGGGGCTGCACCAGGTGGCGGCTCTGCTGCCTTCATTTCAGAGGTCGTGGAAATGTGTCCTGGATGACCCACAGGCACATTTTCCACTGCACCTATCAGAGCCTCCCCATTTCATACCTTGCCTCTCTTGCCCTTGGAGCCCTGAGTATGGTGAGAATGTGGACGTCTTCAGCCAGGCCGGAGGTCACCATGCAGCAGGCCTCGGAACCCCTCCCACAGCGCTCTGGGCCTGACTGTTCTTTGCTCTGCCTCTGCCTTCCCTCAGCCAATTTCCTAGCTGGGCTTGCCGCAGCTAATCCCCTGGCTTGGTGCCTGTTATTTTTGTTTCTAAAAATGAGTGCATATGAGCAAATTCTTTGAGCTTCCCTGGCCTTCCTTCTCAGAGGCAATTCAATCCAAGTCCTCTTGTGGCCAAGTGAGAGTTGTAGCCCCTGAAAAGTGGACTCTCTGAAAAGGTCATAGCTCCTGGCTAGGGCCATGCAGAGGTGAGCAGCTGGGGCATGTGGGGGGTCAGTACCCCTTCAGCCTTTCTTAGTCATCTGGATCTCAAGCAAGTGAGAGAGACAAGACAAAAATACAGCAAACTCATCCCAAATGCTGAGTGGAGTGTTCCTCTCACATCTTTCCAGGAAAAGACTAGTGTTCCCAGGAGCCGTGCACTTTCTAGGACAAAGATATCTCAGCAAGAGCAGGCAGGAAGAAGGGGAGAGGCAGGGAATGTTTGCTCTGCTGCCGGCCCTGCTCTTCAGTTCTTGGCTGGGCCGGGGATGGCAGGGGCCCCGGGGAGCGTACTGCTGCTTGGAAATAGTTTGCAACAACTCCCCTGAGCTCTGAATGTTATTTGTGGAGGGGAAAGCAAAGAAGGGAAAAGTTCAAACCCAGGCCTCATTGCCAGTCAGGAGGCCCCAAATCCCAGTGCCATGGAGTTGGTCTGATCTCCCCTTTCAGATGTGTCCTCTGGCGTCCTTGCTCCTGGAGAACTTCAGGAGAAAGCAGACTCAGAGCTGAGAGGAAAAAAACCCCTTCAGCCACTGGGTTCTTGCAATGATGACTAGCCAGAGGAAACCCCAAAATTGCCACTGAACATCCTGGTGTCCGTGGGCAGGCTGCAACAGACTGAAGGTGGGGAAGGAGTAGAAAACGCTCCAGTAAAGTGTCATGGCTGCACCTCATGGCCGGGCTATGGCTAAGTTACCCAGGCTTTCTGGCCTGCTTCTGTCTTCCTCATGCCCATCTGCTCTGGCCATCACAGAAGGGCTGTTATTAAGATCAAATATGTGAACATTCTTTGAACGTGACGTTGAGTGTGATTACTCACAGGGCCTGTTCTAGAAGCCAGTCCATGTGGCTGAATTGGATTAGTCATTTTGCTCCTGAATAGAGTCACCTATGAGCTGGAGCTTCCTAAGGCCGTGGGCACATCCACAGGACCCACCAGTTTAAATGCCTTCAGGCTGAGGGCACTTAACATTTCCCTCCTCTGTTTGGCATGTGCTGTAGAACAGCCAGCTACGACGCAGTCGAAGACCCACAGTCTCCACTCAACCGTGCGGTGTGTGCTGAACAGCACATGTCCCACATGGTGGATTCTCATGTTGATTCCATGCTCTCGCTCTTCTAGCTCCTTCAGGGTCACAGTCTCTGAGCGTTTCTTTCCTGCCTCTGAGAAACTAATCACACGCCCTTCCCAGCCCGGGGTCTAGGCTGTCCAAGGAAGGACTCACACAAACCCCCGACCTCCACCTGCAAGGGCAGCTGCTGCGTGCTCCTGGTGGGGTCAGAGATGGAAGAGGCAAAAAGGAACCAGCTCGTGCTTCTTCCAGGCCCCTCTCCCAAATTATTCACTGTCTTTCCACTTGGAGCTGGAATTCTCTGCCTTGATTTTCCCCAGCAGCTGGGCCTCTGCGGGCTGTCGCCTGGTGCTTCCCTCCCAGGGAAGAACAGCCTTCTGGGGTGGGGGGTTGGCCGCCAGGATTCTGAAAGGGGCCCTCCTATTCCCTATTCTTCTTCCTTTGGGAACTCTTAGTGCTAAAAACAAGGTTTCTGAGAACCGTTTTTTTTTTCTGGGTTAAAGGTGAAAAATGCAGCTTTTCCTCCAAGTGGAAAGCATTCAGCCTGCCAACTCCAGGCACATTTCCGAGATCCTTCCTCCCACTCAGGGAGGCGGCAGCTCCTTGTGAGGGAAAGAAGAGGTGGCCCGTGGAGGGAAGTCGGAAGGAAAGCACCAGTTACTCTGAAACCAGACCTATTAGTGTGGAAACCAGAGGGACTGTTTGTGTTGGCCGGGCCTGGAGACTGGAACAGGACACGGGAGGAAATGATGGGCTGAGAGGGCGGGCCGGCGGCGCAGCCATTCAGAGTGGGGTCTGATAGGCCGGGCCAGGGGCTTCCAGGGCAGTGTAGGGACAAAAAGGGCCCGTAGACCTTCCTGAGAGAAATCCCAGGAGGAAACATGGGGCTGTGAAAGTCAGTTTTAACAAGAAAAGCAAGAACATTCCCTTCCCTCACCTACTGCCAGTCATGCTTGCTGCTTAGAATACACAGGAATTTCCGGGGGATTTTCTCAGATCCTGGGAAGGGACAAAGCCTTTCAGGAACCCGTGCTTCATGATCTCTTCATGCGACAGGGCTACTCCATACTGGTCTCTTCCCTGGCTACTCTCTACTGGTCTCCCTTGAACCAAGAACCCAGCCAGCCTTCTCAAAAGCTACTGCCCCAAAGCCATCGCACAGCACCCCCCACATGCCAAAATAACAACACAGCTACAAGTGTCAGGCAACAGGTGGAAGACTGAGGGAAAATGGGCTCAGCAGGCGAAGCTGGAGGAGAAGCGAGTGCTGCCCCACCACCTGGCCTGTTACTGTGAATGCCAAAGACCTCGTCCCCCAAGCATCCCTGCAAAGAGCTATGTCAAGGGACCACCTCAACCCGATAGTACTTCCCTCAACATGTACCTTGCTGTGCTGGCTTGACTGTACTAATGGCTCTGACTGTTTTTATCCCTCCCTGTATCTGTGCCCTTTGCCAGGTGACTTTGTAGTTTCTCTCACTGTGGAGATAGAATCTGTTTCTTCATGTCTTAACTCTATAGATTGTAAATAATAGGAGGCAGCTTAAGTGACATGACACCATTCCAAACTGTGAAAATCTTCCGGCTTGAGTCCGGGGCTCTTGCCCTCTTTCACAGCTGAGAGCATGTCAGGCCAGCCCCCTGGTCCAGGAGGAAGACAAGAATCATGTGGAAAGACTCAAAGAACCTCGCCATCCTAGCAAAGGTCATGCTGAGTTGACCAATCCCTCCACATGTGAACGAGTCCAGCTGAGATCAGCAGAGCTACCAAGCTGGCCCCTCAAGCACATAAGCAACAAGTACCACTGCGTGCCACTGAGGCCTCGTGGTTGTCAGGCAGCAGAGTTGTGATGATAACACACCCTGGGGGTCCCCAAACCCAGGCCCAGCTCTCCTGCTTACCTGAACCCAGGCCTAATCCCTTAGCTGCAGGACAGTCCTTTCACAACTACCTCTGCTTTGAACTCATCCCCTTGCTTCTGTCCCCTGAGGGGATGACAGAGCCTCCCTCCTAACTTGGGCAACGTAGTCTCACCCTGCTTCTGCCCTCGACACCCATGTCTCAGCCAGGGTCTTCTTGGGTCCCCACTCTGCTAGTCCCTCCTCCTTGCCAGCAGGATCCTCACTGCCCTATGTCTATCACAGCATCACTACCCTCTTATCCCCTTTCCTGTCCCACCCAGGGAGGACGTGGCTCAGAATCCTCATCGGCTTCAATATACACTCCCAGGCTCCTGTCCCCGGGTCATTATCTTTTTCTTTTGCTAGCACTTGCGAGGAACATCAGCTCGTCCACAACACAATCCTTCTGGCTTCAGCTCAACTATTATTTTGCTAAAAAATAAATCACGGTAATTTATTTTTTTTCATTTTGGCTGGAGGTAATAGATTCAAAATATGCTATGAAAGCAATTCCATTCAATCTCTGGATGCACTGACCCTCGCCATCTGCAAGGAAACGGTGTTGAGGTGAGGATGGGTGGGAGTTGACAAACCCACTTTCTACCATGTGACTTTCTCCAAATTGCACTCTCCAAGTGACATGTAGGGGGAGGATGATTATTTTATTACCATTATTCCTCTTGTTGGAAGGATCCTCATCATCAAAGGGTCGTAAAGACCTGAGGCAGAAGGTTGAACCCCAAGGTGACTGCCTCTGACTTGTCTGTTCATTTTTTAGAATTCTTTATGTGCCCCAAACTGTGCTTTGCATAAAACTCAAAAGTCTCCCCTGAATGAACGCTGCACAGGAGGGGCAGAGGCACGCCTCGGACTAATTATAGGCGCCTGTGTGATTTGGATCGCGTTTCCGCCTCTTTGGGGGCAGCGCTCTCACCTTTCCCTCAGTGAGCCCTGGCATGGGAATCTGGCCAGAGAGCCAGCTGTCTTCAGGGTCACGTGTGACTGGCAAAGGGGCATTGCTGATGGCTTAGAAGGCAGTGGCCCAGATCCCGGGATTCTTGCCCACGTGGGTAGGTCATGCTGACAGCACAGGTTATGTTAGTGTCCGTGTCTGGATCTGCCCTCTGCAAAGACCGGTCCATGTCCACAATGAATGACCAAATGAATGGGACTTAGTCTTCTTCATCTCCTTTATTCAAGCTTGCTCTTAAAACAAAACCAGTAGTGACCCGCCTCAGTAACACGTTTCCTTTTCATCTGCTTATTTCGAAAAGCCTTCTATTCATCTCCTTGAGCCACCAGCTTTACTGAAAAGCGTCTACCCCAACTTACCTACCCGCTTCCACAGATACCACCAAGGGTCCAAACATGTCTCCTTTGGAAGAAAATTTTTAGGAAATGTGCAAAGAATTCAGGGTTGTCCACCCAAACTTGAAAAAGTATACTTTGTGGACAATCTTCAGCTATAAAAATATACACATACAAAATGACAGCTAAAAAGTCATGGTGCCTATTTTCTTAGATTTGTGTTAGAAAAAGTAGGGATTGCTCATTGAAAGTAAACCTTAGGGCACAATATTATGATTATGATTCTGTCTAGTTTCCCCATGTCCACATGTTCATGGAATAGTCAGAGCACATTGAGCCAGTGATGACTAGAATGGGTTAATTCTAATTCATGAGCCAAGGTGAGAAATTCGAGGTTCAAGGTCACACAGTTATTCTGCTGTCAGGAAGAGTATCATGAGTCAGAGAAGGAGAGAAGTGTTTTAATACTGACCTTCAGGTCCCCCCCCCCTCTCTCTTTTTTTTACACTATGAATCACAACACAGTCAAGGAGCTACTGCAGGCAGGCTCTGGAATTTGCATTGATGTGTGACCTCTAGTAGCCATTACACATTCAATGGACAAAGTCTGATGCTTCCGCCACTGAGTAATCCTCCGCTGGGTTTGGCCCACAGAGCGTCAGCAGGAAAGGCCACGCAGGAATTCCCGTCTTGGTTCTTTTTTCTCATCAGGGTATACTTTCTCTTTGATGAGAGGAAGTACACCTGGTCCCCGTGCCTCTGTGGATGACATCAGGCAGGGTCGTGGGGCCCCCTGGGATTCCCAGGATAGAAGGCTCTGTCCCTTGGGCAAGGCCAACTGGTGTTACTTGGCTCCACAAGTGTTGATGTTTTTCCCATCCATGGCATCTTCCACGAGGGAAATGTGGTAATCAGTGGAGAGGGTGAAATGAGAGATGCAGCCCACGAGGCCTCGCATGTATTGCCTGTTCGTGTGTAGAGCAATTTCCTTCATTCCACCTGCCAAGAAACAAGAGGGAGATGAGGTGAACCAAAGGGAAGATGTCTCTTTAGGAGACTTAAGTGTCTAGTGACCATGGCGTCCCTTGGCTGACAGGCTAAGTAAGGACTGTGGGTTTCTCAAACTGCTCAGTATATCACATCTGTCTAATGCATATTTTTGAAAGAACAGGTTGACTTCGATCAATTTAATATAAAACCAGATATTACAAATGAATTCCCCATGTGTGATTTCTGACCCAACTGGCATCTTAAAACCAAATAATAGGGCCTCCTGGGTGGTGCAAGGAGTTAACACGCAACCTATGAATCTATCCACAGCCACCACAGCATGAGTTTGATCCCTGGCCAGGGAGCTACCCACATGGCACAGCAGACCTCTTCTGACTCACCTGCTGCTCCCTTCAGCAGTGTATTTCAATCAATCTGCCTGTTCTGTTCCCTACTCTGTCTCTGGTGAATCCTCTCACCCCCCACACCTCTGGCCTGTACCCCAGTTCTTGTATGCATAAATAAATAAATCTTTTTTAAAAAACCCAAATAATAGCTAGTAAATTCTGAAATATTATATAACACACACAAAGGTAGTATGTAGTTAAAGGTGATGGTATCTTAAACCAAAAACAATATACCAGTGTTGAGTTCTTTTAAGTAAGTTCACTTTTAGATATGATCACATGGATAGCGGTATCTTTTCATGTTAATGGAAACAGACTGGCTGATTCTAAGCTATTCATAGAAATACCACTCATTTTAATTCTGAGATGGCCCAGAATGAAAACTCTTCCTTCCCCAGAGAAAATACACGGAGCTATATTTAACAGGTTCCTGTTCTATAAACAAGAAAAGCATGGTTTTCCTGGTGGATTTGTCCAAAACACAAAAGCATCTAAGAACTTCCTGCCCCCTCAGGCATGAGTCAGAAGTTCAGAAAATGGAAGAATGAAATATTTGGAGAGCTTCCTGATTTCTAAGTATCTGACTGAGACAGCAAGTACACGGCTTTGAGGAGCAACATCATGGCAAGGAAGGACTCAAGGGCAAAAGCATCGGCATAGTGTGGGTTTGGTTCAAGGTCACTTACCCACATACAGAGCACCATTGATGTTGAGCTGCCTCATCATGCCAGGTGATTTGCCAGTTCTGGCCCCATAATCATCCACAGTGATCTTTCCTGATTGGCCATCCCTATAAAACCACACCAGTTTTTGAACTTCATTCAAATATTCATTCATGTCAACAAAAAAGGGCTTAAGTACCCACTATGAATCAGCAAAATGCTAATGATGGAGCTGCAAAAATAAACAAAAAACAACAAAAACAAATTCCTGGCCTTCAGGAGTTTATGGTCTACTAAGCAAGACAAGACAAACAAATTGCATGGCATTCTGTGGTGGAAGAGTACCAGGTGGGAGGAGATTCTGGCCTAGACTAGGAAGGAGATGGTTACTGGAGATAGGGTCAGACAAAGCTTAAGAAAGGATATTCTGTCTGAATTTTCAAGGTTGGGTAGATCTGGTGAAGTGGAAGACTAGAACAAACATGCAGTGCAGAGGTAGAAGAGACGGGGACCAGTACACACTAAGCGTGGAGAATTCTGGAGGTGGGAGCAGAAAGGTGAAAAATGAAGGCAGCAGCAGATGGTGGAGGGCATCAAAAGCAGTTTAGACTTTATCCTGAAAGTGAGAAGGAATAGAGAAGAGCTTTAAAAGGTGGGGAGTTGGGGACAGGGTGACACACGTGTGTTTGGATGTTATTCTAGATACAATTGCAAGCCAATGAAACAGTTTTTGCAGGCAGAAGGTTGGGTTACTCTAGCAGAGAACAAAAAATGACTTATACGTTTCTAAAGGACACACAAAGTCACTCCAAAGTGACTCTGAAGACAGGGGTGGAGGGGTTTATCTGTGGTAAGGGCTCTGCTTTTTTCTAAGTTGGTTTTCAAACTTATCCAGCCCAATAAAACATCTTTAAGAAAATGTACCTGCTTCTATATATTTAGGGGCTGTATCTCTAGACCACAATTATTTTAGAAAGAGTTCTTTTCTGATCTTTTAATGTTCCTTTTCAGTAGCACACGGTTTTTGTTTCTTGGGTTAATAGCCTCTCATCTTTCTGATGATACCAATTTTTTATCTTTTTTTTTTCATTTGTATTCTGTTTCCTCCAAGTTGCTTTGTTATGTCTAGTTGTTCTGATACCCATTTTTAAGTTGGAGATTTTGTTGTTGTTGTTGTTGATCCTAGACTACAACTTCACTTTGGCATTGCAAGGTGGATTGTAAACTCTGTGCCAGGATGAGTTTGTTGACTGTGACTTCTTAGTACTGATGAATCTGGCTCAGTCCTTTCCTTGAGGGATACCTGGATTTTCTACTCTTCTTACTGTAGGGTATAGACTTTGATATCAGCATTTTAGAATTCATTGGGGAGAAATTATAGGCTTATTAATATTAAAATATGAACTTTCACATAGTTCCAGTCTTTATTTATATAGTGTACAATAGACCAGCATTTAGTTATACCTAGTATCTTCCACTACAGACACTCACTAGGCTACTTTCTCCAGAAAATTAGCTTTCATTATTTTTTCAGGGATAGGGAATGAGCAGTGTGATATTTATAGAAAGCAGAGAAAGGGCTTAGGTTCTAACTTCTCAAATTCAAGTAAAGTTTTTAAGGCAATCTTCTTGCTTTTAACCCATCATTCACCTTGTAGCATTTCCTGGCTCTATCCTATTTGGGGAATACATGGGGTTGAGCAAGGCCAGCTCCATCACAGATACCATGACAAGATTGACTTTTTTTTGTATCTTGCTAGATACTTTCTAAAAATATGTGCATCAAAATTACAATTGAAAGGGAATGATTCACCCAAAGTTAATCAAAAGTCAGGGTAGCTACCTCTGTGAGGGGTAACTATGTGAAAGGGCAGGGTTCACAAGGCTTCTAAGGTTCAGGTAATGTAATGTCAGAAAAATGAAGTGGGCAACTACCTACATAACAAGATTTGAAGCATCCTGTAGGGTCCACAGGACCTGATCTCTATTCTCAGAAGAGACTTCTAGATCTCACAGGTAATGAGCTCCTCTTCCAGGTTAGCCACTGAAAAGTTCTTTATCCATAAGCCTGCTGTTGAGTGAGCCTGTGGGGGTTCAGCCTCTCTGGCCTGTCATGTCAGTAAAGGGCACAGGTGGGAATTGGGAGCATGGTACCCTGAATGAGGAGAGCAGGTTCCCTGGGGAACAGGACAGAGGGAATGCAGAGCACACCTCATCTCTGCTGAGCCATGGCTCTGTCTCTGCCGCATTGGCTCTCACCTCACAGCCTTGACACGGTGCCACCGGCCATCGTGGAAGGAGCCATTCACCATGATCGACGCCACACCACTACCCAGGTTGTAGCTAAAGGCATCAGAGGAGAACAAGATGGGGCACAGAATCAAAGAATGACCCACAGCAGATGCTCACTCACAAGCAGTTCTCATGGCAAAATTGTTTGGGATGCAGAGTATGGATTTCTTAACACAAAGCAAAACATGGTAATAAAGGCATTAGTTCCAGGTGAGGCCATGAATGATTATAAATATTTTTTATCTATAATTGTGTTTAAAATATACATGACCAAACTTACCATCTTAGCCATTTTTAAGCGTACAGTTCAGAAGTATTAAGAATAATCACTTGGTTGTATAAGTAATCTCCCCCATTTCATCTTGCAACATAGCAACTATCCCTCCTGAACAACATGCCTCCACGCCCCAGTACTGGCAGTCCCTGGCAACCCCATTCTACTTTCCGGCTCTATGAATTTGAGGTACCTCCTATAAGTGGACTCATTCAGTATTTTTTTTCTTTTTGTGACTGGTTTATTTTAATTGGCATTACATCCTCAAAGTTGATTTTTTAAAAAAGTGTATCAGCGTCTTATAAAGAACAAGAAGGACTTTCTAATGTTGCTTTAGGTTGAATGAGGTCCCTGTCCCAAATTCAGATCAGAGGGTCTTTGCAGATGTAATTAGTTAAGATGAAGTCACACTGGGTCAAGCAGCCTAAAGCCATTATGACTGTGGTCCTCACAGACAAGGCCACGCAGGGAAGAGGCCTTATGAAGATGGAGGCCGAGGTTGGAAGGCGGCCTCCACAAGCCACGATCACCAGGGTTGTCAGCCACCACAGAAACTGGGAGAGAAACACAGAACAGAGTCTTCCTCAGAACCCCAGTAGGAGCCGACCCTGCTAACACCTGCATTTCGGACTTCCAGCCTCCAGAACTGCGACAGGACAAATTTCTATCTTTCAAACCACCCAATTTGTGGTAATTTGTTACAGCAATCCTTGGAAACTGATACATGTGTTTTTACTTTGAAAAAAAAAACAAAACAACAAAACAGAACAGAACATTGCAGAAGAGAGTCCCAAAGGGATTAAGGGAATTTGTCTAAAATCTCAAAGTTAACATGTAGAACTGGGCATATTATCTGCTGCCACCTGCCCCCCGCCCTCTTCTCCCCTACCCCACCCCACCCCATTTTACTTTGAATTCAGGTCCACCTATTAGCTTTCCATTTTCATGGTCAGTTTCCAGACACCCTGATACCCAAAGCGTATCGAAGACACGAACATGTTGTTTACCAGAGAGAAACAGCCCTCTTAGTCCAGGGTTCATTCAATTATTCTAATTTAATTCATTCAACAAATATTTAGTGAGTGACTACTCTAGCCTGGGCACTGGACCAAATGCCTGGCCTTTCCCTCATAACGGAATAAAGCCCATGTGCTTTTAAAAGAAATGTGTTCCACCGGGTGGGTACGGCTCTGTCCTTTACCTCCCTGCCCCAGAAATTACAATGTTGAGAGGAAGCCTGGACTAGTTACTGAGCTCTTGTAAAAGAACAAGAAGAGAAAACGTTTGGCTTCCCCAGGGAAAGCACCATAGGCCCTTTCTTTCAAAGGGGAGGCTCGTAGGCATTTAACTAAGAATAGCATTTGGGTGACAGGACAAAGCGTCACTCTGACCTTGTAAAAATCCACTGTTTTCGAATGAATTTTCCCACACCAAGTGCCTCCTGATAGGAAGCAGCCTGGAGGTGGAATTTTTCAGAGTTCATTATGTAGTGGCCAAATGCTTGCTGAAGAAATAAATGAACGTGGGGCGGGGCTGAGAGTGGGTGGCAGACACTTAGCTGGGTGACTCTGCATGGTTTCCAGTAGTTTCCTGGGAGGCAGCTCAGAGCCACGCAAAAAGCACAGATGCTCAGCTCACACTGACCTGCTTTGGTGCCCCATGTTGCCGAGGCCAAGCTGTGACCTTGGGCAACCTGCTTTATCTCTCTGAGCCTAAGCTTCCTCCCCTGTGAAATCAGGCTAATAACACCATCCCCAAAGCATCCCAGGGTGTCAGATAATACATATAAAGAGCATAGCACATAGTAGGAGCCAAAAAAATAAGCCCCCCACCCCAGCCCCGAATATACACAGTACCTCATGTAGCTCCTCCTCAGGGTTAACAGTGTATCAGGAGGAACTAGCAATAGGAGAAAGTTGCCACCAACAGTTAAGCCTCTCCTGAAGAGCAGTCACGTGTGCGAGTAAAGGAGCAGGTGGTAAATGTGTAACCCAAAGTCTGGTACGTTGAGATCTGAGTGAAGGTGACCTGGGTATTCATCGCAGGGACACGGGACTGGAGCATAACTGTGATCCAGTGAATAGAAACTTTTTCCATTGACAGAGAATGGGCTTTTCTCCTCTGTGCTCCGGCCTCATGGTGCCGCTGTTCATGCAAAGAGCCAGAATGCTCGAGGGAGTCTCAGTGACAGCGGACGGGACGCCAGCCGTTAGAGGAGGGGGTGGTAGGGCAACTTGGTATCTCAGTGGCCTGATTTCTCCAACCCCCACTCTGTCTGATTTCAGATTCTTCAAATGACTTCCCATTTCTCCAGACACCCTAATGTCAGGGATAGAAAAGGGCTCCCGCCCACCCCAGGAGCACAGCTGCATTTCTGTACTTCCTCAGCCCAGCTGGGGCAACTCTTTGTTTCAAGGACCAGATAAGGTCTGCGGGTCTTGGAGCCTTGGGAAGAGTCTTTGAACTACAATGTTCCCCTCCCTGGAAAAGAGTCCCAGTGAGCCCAGGAATCAGGGAAAGCAATGGGAGCAAGGTTACATGATACGGAGGGACCCTCACTATCCAGAAAGGAACATCCCTTCAAAGTCCTACTGCTTTACAGCTCGGAGTAGCTCTAGATTCCTGAGGTGCCCACTGCCTGCCTCTGTCCTGTTGCTTCCAAACTCTGCTGCTGACTCATTCTGGTACTTTGTGAAATTCTTGTCTGGGGAGACACCAAGGACCCTTGGGTGTCACATCTTCAATGCTGATCTTTGACTCTGGAATATCTCTTTTATATAATACATGACAAGACATGAACATGGGAGCTTAACGCAGGAAGGCGGCAGCCTTCCTGGGTGTAGGAAATGTTCTGTACCTTGTTCTGGGTGGTGGTCACACAGGTGTTTACATGTTTGAAAGTTTGTTGAACCGCACACCTAAAACTTGGTCACTTTATGTAAACTGTACCCCACTATTTTAAAAAGTAAAAACATACGAATAAATGAACAAATGAAAGCATGTCTTATCTACCAATGTCTCGTGAATTTGGTGAGCACAACTGGTTATGCTGTTCTAAGTGGAATACTTCAGTGGCATGCAGGAAAAGCTCCAGGGGAGCACCACGCTCAGGCACCAGGTAACGCCACCAGGTGGCGCCCCTTGGGAGCCTCTTGGGTGCTGCACCTACAGAGACAGGTCTAAATCTTTGCTGCTATTAGATCTCTTCCCTTTCTCTGTTGCATGAAAATGTAACCAAGGTCACATGGAAAATTAGTGGGAAAGATCGTCCATCAAGGGATTTTTCACAAGCCCACTCCTGGGTTTATAGTCTCCTATAATCATCCAACAAAAAGAAACCAAAAGAAACCCAAAAACTGCAATCTTAGCTGAGTTCTTTGATTCTCTCTTCTTCTTAATCTTGCACCAAAACCATAAGTAATTTTTTTTAGCGTTTCATTGTTCTTTCTTATTAATTTCAAGCAGTAAATCAACAAAAGAACCCAGCATTGAGGTGAGGAAAGAAAGTTGAGAATATATTTTAATAATTTACATTTCCAGTTGTTTGCTTTGACCCTGGAAGGAATACCAAAATCTCAGAAAATGATCCACCTACCCTGTGGACCAGTTCACACTTGGTTTCACCAATACAGGCTGCTGAAGGGCAGGGCCCCTTCTTATTAAAAATCCTAATAATAACAGTTACGGCAGCTATGTTTTATGAAGCTCATTTCCATACATATGTGATCAATCTGAGGTAGGAATCTCTAAAACATAGAACACACTCAATGAAAGATAATCATTTTAAATGATCATTAGCACGAAGAACTAGCTCTGGCAGATCCTGCATTAAGCTCTTTACATGAATCAATGCCTTCAGTCCTCACAGCTAAGCCTTTCCTTTTACACCGAGGCTGAGGAGCATGCAGGCATCTCATAGTCACGGGAACTGGGCACATCTGGCTCTGAAGCCCATGCTTTTGACCTCCTCCAACCCTGTTTCCAGGGCATGATTCCTGGAACCAGCTGGGTGATTATTTCCGATCAGAGTCTGGTCCCCACCCAGACCTACTCCATCAGAATCTCTGAGGGGTAGACCCAGGAATCTACTCCGGAACCAACTCCCCGCTGGCTCACCTTCTGCTGACACTTTGAAACCACAGGCTTGCTCTCCAGTTCCTCTCCATGCCCAGCCAAGCGCAGTGCTTCCCCGCGCCGGTGTGGGGTGATGGATGAGGGGAGATACTGCCCAGCGGACGGGGGCGCCGAGCTGCAGTGCTGTGGCTCCAGGCCTGGCTGGCTAAGCATTCTATCCTTTGTGCTTACAACCAGGCTCCCGCTTACGAGGAAAACACAGGGCCAATTTTCAGAAACTTGAGAAAGAAATGGTAACATAAGAACTACATCCGGGATGAAATGGAGTTGTTAAAAGGGGTTCTGGGGTCCCGACAGGTGGGGGGCGGCTGAGCGCCTGGCCAGGGCTGGTGTGGGAGCCCAGGGGAGTTGCTGGGTGGCCCCTGCGCATATCGGGTTTCCCTATCTGGCTGGGGAGGACGGTGAATGGGTTTTAGCTGGTGGTTTCAGGGGGAAGTTGGGCCTCCCACCCAAGAATGAGCTACTGTTTCAGTTCCCTTTTCTGGGCACGATTGAGTACTTGAGGCCGTGGCGAGGTTAACCACAGGAAAACCACAAGAAAATGGCTTCGCGGCAGTCAGCCCGAAAGGGGTGTGAAGAGCTGGGGGTGACCTCTGGACCAGCAGGGTAAAAGGGGTGGAGATGGTAAGAAGCTGCCTCAGGAGTCAGCCTCTAACCTCAACCATACATGTCTCTCCAAAGTCCCCACACATGACACTCTCTCACACTTAGCCTGCTCAGTTACTTGGGGAAAAGGGTGAGGTTGAACAAATGCCATTTTTCTCTAAAAAAACATTCATTCTAATTAAAAAGGGCATACATTATGTTACCCTATCAGTAATCTCAGTACATGATCCACAGAGGCCTAGAATTACGTCTTCATCTTTGCTGTAGCTTGGTTAAAGCTCTCTTTCATCAATTTCAATTCTATATCAAGTAGTGAGAGTTGTGCCAGTCAGGGGAGAGGGGAGGTTAGAGAAAGGAAAGTCAGAGAATTTCCTGGAGCAGATGGTCAAGAGACTGAGGGGTAGTTTCGCTTCTTAGCAGGTATCAGAATCACCTAGAAAAACATTGTTGGCCCTGCACCAAAAGTTTTTCTCTTTCAGTGGTTCATGGATGAGGCCTGGGAATCTGCATTTCTAACAGGTCCCCAGGTAATGCTGAAGCTGCTGGTCCAGGCACCAAACTTTTAAGAAGCACTGGTCTACCCGGGAGTGAGGATGTTATCACATTCCCCCCATAGTATAGCTTTTTCGCATAACATAGGGCAGTCTTGGCTCCTTGGAGACTCGGTTCCCACCTGTTCTAGTGGGGAGTGTAGGGGAAAGTTGTCCAGAAAATTGAGTAACTTCCTAGCCACCCATTTGACAAACCTGAGGACAGTCCTAATTCACTTAAAAGAGATAAGAACTTCCCGGACTGTTGTTTCAAGATCACCGAAGAAGCATTTACAAAAATTCCTATGTGGGGGACACCTGTTGAGGTAGGGGTCATGCTTGTTCTTTCTTGGAGTGGGAGACTGGAGAGCAGGGCTTCTCCTTCCCAAGGCTGCACAGCTAATTCAGAGCAGAGTCTTTAGGTCTGCTGAGTTGGTAAGCATGGAGCTGAGAACTCACATTCCAGGCGGCTGTAACAAAATCCTCTTTCTACTATTTCCTAATTTTCAAGTGGGGAGCATATGGCAATAAGGTACTAGAATGGTGCCACAAAATTTTTCAGTAGGGGGCTAGAATTAGATGTTTTCACCTTTGCCATAACATCCCTATTGGAACTGCTCAAGTGTGCAGACAGCATGGAAGCAATCACAGATAGTGTATAAATGAATGAGTTTGGCGGTCTTCCAATGAAATTTCATTTACAAAAATGGGTACTGGGCCAAATTTGGCACTCAGGCTATAGTTTGCTCACTGCCGATTGAAAGATGATTCTGGAAGAAAGACCAAGAGCCTCAAATAAACGTGGAGCCTCAGGCATCAGTCAATTCCAGCAAACACTGTCCTGGCTCATTTTTACATCACTCTGTCTGGAATGATCTATACTGTCTGAGAAAAGCATCAAGGCAGCTAGTGATGGGATTACCTGAACACCAGGGCTCCATCCCGAAGGCCCAAGGAAATGAAGTCACTGTTGGGTCTCATGGGGCTGTCTCCCCTCCACATCAATAGGCCATCCTTGGAAGTTGTCTTAAACCTCATAAATGCATTTGATCTTGATCCTGACACCCTGGAGGAAATACACAAATAATTTCACCAAGTTAACCAATCTCTACTAACATCCATTTCTGAGTAATCCCAGTTTTGCCTGCCTAGTTCCAAGCCACACCATCTGGCATTTCTGACACTCATTGCCAGGAGGTTAGAAATGGCATCACCACCAGGAGTGACACCACAGGACTTTGCCCAGGGCATGGGATGTCCCTGGTAGCTGTGTCTCCCTCTCTGCATATGGTGAGAGAGCTTGCTATGTCACAGACTTGCAGGCTGGCAATGCCATGGTCTCAGCCAATACCCCCAATACATACATGTCTTCCCTCTCTCCCATCCTGTTACGCAAGGGCCCTTGGGAAAGTGTCCCCCACACCTCAACAGAAAGTGGGCTCCTTCATTGCCTATAGGTTCAAGCTGGTGGCTGCTCTCTCTGTGACTGTGCTATGGCTGGTCAGTCTTTCCTTAAGGAAGAAGCAACAGGATATGGGGGCATAATCTCAGATGGAGAAGATGGTTTGAAGGGATAATGGTCCTGAGATGTGTGGGGGCAGAGGCAGGGCAGAGAGGAACAGGAAACTGGGAGTAGGAAGGGTGCTCAGGCAGTTCAATCTCAGGCCCTACAGCTATGGCTGGGAAGGGAACCATACTTGTGTGTTTGGTTGTCCAATGAGATAGTGGAAATTTACCAAGAGGATTCTAGGAAATTTCCTTCCCTTTTAAAAAGAGTTACATGGAAGGGAAAAAATCTTTTTCACTTCCCTTGGATATTCTACATCATTATAGTCATTTTATAAGCACCTTGTCTACAGTGGCCTTATAACATTCAAGGAGTGACTTTTGGAGAATATGCTGAGGATAACAAGAAAAAAAAAAAAAGGAAACAAATTGGGCCTTCGATGATGCAGTTAATTCCCTGAATTAATCTGCCTAAGACACAGTCTGAGTTTGGATACTCTTATTATATGAGATAATAAATAACCTTCATGTTTACGAATTTGAGCTAAGATTTCTGTTACTGGGAGCCAAGGACATCTAATTGATATAAACCCTGAACTTGACTTTCACCTGCAGCTTCACATATACACACACGCACACAAGGGCAATTGGAGCTGCTGCTCCACCCACCAAATTCCTCAAACCAGTGCTTCTTACAAAGCACCAGGAGCCTGAAAATTTGAAAGCACCATGAACCCTGGTGCTGGCAAGAGCTTTCCATCTTTTGGGAGAAACAACTGGAAAAAGTATAAGGTCTCTCTTGACTGGAAATCCATTTTGTGTGAGGTCTCATGCCAGCACAACATAGATAAATACCACCTGGGATTAGAGAAATGAAATAATGTCTGTCTGATATGGGTTCAGATTTATCAGGACATCCAGTGCCCCAGGAAAATGTCTCTCAACCACTTTTGTTCTATTAAAAGCCATCAGCTCCATCCTAAGAATTAGGTACCTTCAGCTTAAAGCTTTGCCTGAGTATGTTAATATGCAGTCAACCTGAGGAGGAAAGAAAATTCTAGAATGACTAGACTGGTAGTGGGGTGGGGGATGGCACACTAAAAACTACAAAGAACTAGGATATGGAAAAGAAGGAAGCAGCAGAACCCCAAGCAGACACTTTGTTGGGTTGAGGATTTTGCCTACAGCCAGCCTTTCCTTCGTTATGCAAACAGGCATGTCCAAACCAGAAGCTTGGAGCTTTTGCCGCCAAGGATTAAAAGCCATGACTGAGATAGAGCACCATCCCTGGTCATGCTTTTATAAATACACAGAGAGAGATGAGGGGCCTCTCCTGAACTGACCAGAAGTTGAAATGAACAGTGGACCTTTGTTGATAAAGTTGTAAGGTAGAAATGAACTTGGAATTGCTCGTCTGATTGGGAAGCATCTGAACTCTGAGTGCTGGCTCTAGGGCCTAGAACAGCACCAAGCTAATTGCCTGCCTGGGGAATCACCTCCTTGCCCTGCCTTCAGGAACATGCATTCTCATTCCATCTCAAGGTCTGAGCACTGGAACTCCTGGGGCTGCGCATACCCCTCCTCTATGCCCTCTAAAGAGGAAAGGTTTAGGTTGTTTGCAATGGATGAAAGGTAGAAAGGTTGGATTTTTCAAGTTTGGTTGAGATTTGTTTTGTCTTGTTCTAGTTTCTGTTTATTTGGCGAGTCCTTCTCCACCTCCTTACTTTTCCCCACCCCTGCCCCAAGGCTATGGCTTAACTGCCTTCTTTGAGATTAGCTTCTGACATATAAGATAATATAAAGATATTGAGAAATCTACCTACAGAAAGATAAGGACGCTACCTGTTGAAGCTCATTACCTCTTGAGGATATCTGGATTGTCATATATCAGGTAACTGTGGCCGATAAACTGAGGAATCTCGATGGCTTCTGTGATGGCTGAGAGAGAACAGAAGGTGGAGGTTATGTGCTAGGTGGCTCTCTTGACCCCAGCAGTTAACCATGTGCTAGGAAAATACAAAGAAAATCAGCCCTGAAAATATGACCTTTAACAACTTGTCAGCCCCTTCCTTTTGGCTGCACTTGACCATGTACCCAGCTACCCAGGCTGATGACCTAGAGTTGGTGTCTCTGCTTATCTCCTCCCTGGGGACTTGCTGTCACTATTATTGACCTCAGATCACTGAGAAGAGCTTGCAAAGTGCTGAAAGTGAGCTGTGCCTGATTATTTTTGGAAGGCAAAGAGTAGGTCTTGAGCTACAAAGGGAGTGACTGGAGATAACCCTAGATGGTCTCCAAGGGAGACAGAGGAAATAATTCCCAAACAAGGCCCATCAGGATTTCTTTATTTGAAGCCCATCTGCCCCAGAAGCTTATCACTCAAGACCTCAAAGGGACTGATGGAGTGCGAGGAAAAAAGCTTTGACTTTTGTTTTTACAAATCACCTTCCAAACCTATTTTCACAAGATTTTCACTACCATCTCCTGAGGTAGCAGGGAGGAAGGAACAAGGAGAGGCTTGGTCATGCCCATTTTATAGAAGAGAAAAATGAGGCACAGAAAACAGAACAAATTTGCCCAAGGCCCTACAGCTTGAGAGAAATAGACCAGGAATTAGATTTGCTCTACTTAATTCTGCTCCCACTGCCCCAACTGCAGTCCACTCTTGCTTTCCAATATCTAGATGTATATTTCTCACTTTTCAATTTCTCATTACTTCATTTCCTGGAGAATTTTATATATTTTGTACATTGCAAATGAGTAGGTTAAGTAGCTGTGCTTGGGGTTATATCTTGAGAATAATTTGTTAGGTTTCTACTAGAGAGATAGCAGCTACAACCCTTTCCTCTTTAGAAAGACACAGAAATGGCAGTTAAAAAAATTAAGGTAGAATCAATCTTTTCCAAAGACATGTGCGAAACAGGAGGGAATATCCAGCTTACAAAATAATTGAAAGATTCACAAAGATACCTTGGGATTGTAGCAAAGCTGAACTGAGGACTTAACACCCTAGTAGGAAATGTATAATTGCTTGACCATAGGAAAAATACAGAGTTTAAACTTAGCTTCTAAAGGGGGGACAGGGAGGGAGCAGGGAAGAAAGGGCACAGGGGAGAGAGAGAGACTAGCAAAGTCCAAAACCCAGTATGTTGGGGTCACCGAGTAGAAGTTCCTGTTGGCAATGCCAGAGGGTCTGTCAGGGACAGAGATGACTGCTTCTTATGTCTTAAAATCCTGGGTCACACCACCAGCATCTTTCCCTTCTGGTGAGAGCAGGTAGGAGGAAGAAGGGAAAAGAAGGAAGAAAAGCAGAGATGGGGAAAAGAAAGGTGACACAAGAACAAGAGCAGAGCTTAAAGTGGACAGAGGGTAACAGGAAGGAGAGAGCTGGAGGGAGAAGTAGAGAAAGGCAATGCCCTGGAACAGGAGGGGAAGGCGGGGGGGGGGGGGGAGGAAGAGACAGGTGCACAGGAAGTCATGGGCCAAGGCAAGGAGAGGGGCGACAGAGCTCTCCTCTAGGGCGAGATCTAGAGGAAGAAAACGAGAAATGAGAAGGCGTGATTGCAAGCTGAGAAGAGAAAGAAGAACACAGAAATTCAGGTCAAAGGGAGCGCTTAGACGGGATGCAGGCGTTGCATTTCAGGCTATTCGCTCTGAGAAGAGAGAGGAGCACGGATATCCAAGATGACTTCCCAGGGCTCACTGTAACCAAGTGCCCCTGTGGGGTTTGGCTGTCCCCCAGGGTGAGAGGCAGAGGCAGGCCTGTTCCTGCTGTTCTTGGCCATGGACATGGGCCAGTAGCCAACAGTCATTCTCCTGAACTCCTTGAATAGTCAGGACGTGCTTGTCACAAGCTCCACAGGCATTGCCTCAAAGGGTTCTGGAGAGCCCCGGCCAGCTAAGCCCCTAACACAGGAGCTCCGGTGCTAACAAGGTCTAGCTGGGAGACAAATGAGCTGTCAGGGCTGGTGCTTTTGGAGAGAGGATTCCCATCGCCCTGGGAGATGTGTCAGAGTCCCCTCCCCCCCAACACTTACCCCGATTACCCTCTGCATGTGGTTGGCACACACTGTGCCCTCAGCCTGGCCAAAGCTGCCCTGGCACGGGCCCAGAGCCCTTTCGCAGTCTGCTGGGACTTACTGTACTTACTGTTGAGGCAGTAGTTCCCACACGCTGCCAGGTGCCAGCATGAAACAGAACAGTCAAAGTCAGAATTTCACAGGCACTGCAAACTCCTAATTACTTTTCGCTTTCAGCTCACGAGGAAGCAGCCTTGTTTCCCTCCGAAAGCTCCGCAGAGAGCCCTGCCTGTCCTCTTGGGGATGCGCGTAGGAACCCCCACAGGAGCCAGGGGAGATCTTTTCTCAGCATGATTAGCACTAGGGCACCCAACTAGCCTTCGGGTCTGGGCTGATGAAGGTCTAGGGAGGCGGCGGGGGGTAAATCAAGAACATGTATAAAATGAGCTGTCCAACACTTTTTTACACACTGAGGCTCCTATCACCTTGAACTGACAACCCCCATTTATTTAAACCCGGGGAACGTACCTTGCTAACAAGGTACTTACCTTGTCTATCGTTATAACTTTTCTCGGCTCTAGGTTGCATGGGGGAAACAATAAGCCAGCCAGTTGCCTCTTTTCTCTCCACAGGGGAAAGTATTGCAGTCACCCCCACCCTCGTTTGCAAGATTCCAGAGCCCTGGCCATTCTGTGGTTAACTAAGTTCAGGGGGTCACCCCAGAAATGACAACTGTGAATACAAAACTCAGTACAGTCTACACAGATAAATATTAATTCCACCCGAAAGCATTAGGGTGGGATTCACCCTCTGGCCCTTTGTGGTTTGTTTAAATATTGTAAACATGATTATACTCTATCTTAACCTTTTATAGCTATTTTATCCTACTTTTTTTTTCCCCCTGTGGCGAAGATCCTACTGAGAACAGTTGAAATGTGTTTTTGTCACTCTCACTTGTATACCTAAAAGCTTGTGCCATCTGGTGACACAAAAAATCACCCCAATCAAAAGCACCCCCTAAGTTAGCATCGCAGCTGCTCAGGCAAAGCCAGTGTCCCACTTGAGGGACTTGAAATTCCCAATAGATGGTGCAGAGTGGCTGGCGCTGATTGTCATGCAGTCACAGGGCCCCAGTGAAGGGAGGACCTGGGGGTGCTGTCATCCAGTTTTCCCAAACACCAGGACTACTCTCAACAACATGCTGATGGTGGCGGGGGTGGGGTGGGGCGGAGGGCATACAGCTGGAGACGACACTTCTGAGCTGGGCAGCTCCCTCATCCACAGGGCAGCGCCCTCCGGCTGGACAGATCTACTTGGCAGAGAATTCTTGCTTACTGGAGCTCACTGGAACCCCCCAAATCAACCAACAAACAAAATCTTTTTTCTGCTCCCAGCCTTCCAATGTCTAAAGATCAACATCTTGGTTAGAACATCAGCTCCTTCCTCCCAATTTTCCCTGATTTAATGATACACCAACCAAGGAAAAATTCCCTGTCATATGCATAATCAGCATGTTTTATTAATTTGTGTTTTTAGAGTCTGAGTTTTCTGAAACTACAGCCTATATTTATTAAAGTTTTCTTTAAATACACTGGGACTCACAAAAAGCACCCAAATGTGAATCTACTAAATACCATGTTTAATGCCCTGAATGTTGTGCATGTGACAGATCATTACTGACAAAGCCTGATCTGCTTTTTTAGAGTTGGGCATCCCTGAGGAATGTATGCCCAAGCCCGGCCGTGGCCTCAGCTAGCCCAACCTTGAGGGCCGGGCAGTCCCCCTGCTGCAGAGAAACACCGCCATCTAGTGGCCGGCAGGGTCCTGTACAGTCCAAACTGTTCTCAGTGAAGCCGGTCAGGGAAGGGAGAACCAGGGCTCAGAGTTCTCGCCCAAGCGACTGCAAGAACCCCAAGAGGCAACCACTGCATCCTGCGCTGTTGTCTGGGACATGAACATGAAGGCTCTAATAATCCCTGCAGGAGAGGAGGTACTTAACTGGGTCATCCCAGGACCAACCTACTTACTGGACCACAGGACCCCTGGGGCATGCATTTGTGCGTGTGAATGCATGTGTGTCTGTCTCCGTGTGTACAAGCAAAACAGCCATCAATAGTCCTTACATTGTCATTGTTACGTCATTATATAAAATCTGCTGTACCTTGTTAGTAACTTACTTAGCTCTGAGGGACAAGAACACAAGATGGTACGCTTGAATGAGAGTTGAGAGAAAGGGGAAAGAAATCTCTAAGGATGGGCCTCCCTGGTGGCACAGGTGGTTGAGCGCCGCACTGTGAAGCTGCCTGCAGCTTCTGCAGTGCCAGTTCCATCCCAGCTAGCCACGGAGAAATCCACATGGCACAGCAGACCTCTCCTATCTCGCCCGCTGCTCCCCTCCACAGTGAATTTTGTCAGTCTGCCTGTTCTGTTCCCCGCTCTGTCTCCAGTGAATCCTCTCACCCTCCCACACATCTGGCCTGTACCCTGATTCTTGTATAAATAAAATAAATCTTTTAAAAAAAATAGAAATCTCTGAGGAAAGGGGTATCTCTTTGTTAGTATCTGATTTTTGTTCTAATATGGGAATTAGAAGAATCTCAGGCTCCTCCTGTTCTGGTGGGTTCCTGAGGTTTGGGCTAAAAGGTTCAATTTTCTGAAGCAACTGCTGCAGGGAACCTTCAGTGCCCTGAAAGCAGCCCAGGAACCTTTGCCCAGGCTCATGCTCTCTTGCTCCAGCCTGACTTTGCAGGGTCCCTGAGCCACCACAATGCTGCCTGAAGGGCTCTAGCATTTGTCTGCGTTTCTGGCCCCTTCCTGTGCCACCAGGAGGTGAGAACAAATGTCAACTCTCAGATTAGAACCTTGAGGAATTTGCCTGCCAATTCCAAACACTGAGGAAAAACAGACTTACTGAACATCCAGAAAACGAAATTCTGGATGGTGAAGATGCCCCTTCCGTAAGGACAGAACAGGACCTGGCACTGGTGGTTTCTACACATAAAAGCAAGTAGTATTTCTGTGGGGGATACTAGGGATAGGATCTTGCTTTTGAAGCTTGATCTGGTCATCAGGAAGAGGGGAGGGAGAAAAGCCTTTAAATATATCAGGCTAAACAGCCAGTATCATTCTCAACGGTGAAAAGCTGAAAGCAATTCCATTAAGATCTGGAACAAGACAAGGATGTCCACTCTCACCACTGCTTTTCAATATAATACTGGAAGTCCTAGCCAGAGCAATAAGACAAGAGAAAGACATCCAAGGAATCCAAATAGGAAAAGAAGAAGTCAAACTATCACTATTTGCAGATGATATGATAATATACATAGAGAATCCCAAAATCTCCACAGAAAAACTAATTCAACTCATCAATCAATTCAGTAAAGTGGCAGGATACAAAATCAACACGCAAAAGTCAGTAGCCTTCCTATACACAATCAATAAATCTGAAGAAGAAGAAATCAAAAAAACCATCCCTTTTATTATCGAAACAAAAAAAATCAAATATTTGGGAATAAATCTAACAAAAGAGGTAAAGGACCTATACAAAGAAAACTATAAAACACTGTTAAAAGAAATAGAAGAAGACACAAAGAAATGGAAAGACATCCCCTGCTCATGGATTGGAAGAATAAACATTATTAAAATGGCCATCCTACCAAAAGCAATATACAGATTCAATGCTATTCCAATCAAAATTTCAATGTCATTCTTCAAAGAAATAGAACAATTATTGATGAAATTCATATGGAATCACCAAAAACCCCGAATAGCCAAAGCTCTACTGAAAAAAAAAGAAGGAAATGGAGGCATCACACTCCCAGACTTCAAATTCTACTGCAAAGCCATAATCATCAAAACTGCATGGTATTGGAACAAGAACAGACACACAGACCAATGGAATCGAATAGAAAATCCAGAAATAAACCCACAGATTTATGGTCAACTAATCTTTGACAAAGGAGCAAAGACTATGCATTGGAGCAAAGAAAGTTTGTTCAATAAATGGTGCTGGGAAAACTGGGTCGCTACATGCAAAAGAATGAAGCTTGACCACTACCTCACACCATACACAAAAATCAACTCAAAATGGATTAAAGAACTAGACATAAGACCTGAAACCATAAAATACATAGAAGGAAATATAGGCGAAACACTACGGGATTTGCACATCAAAGACATCTTTACAGACACATCACCCAAAGCAGTGATAGTGAAGGCAAAGATAAACAGCTGGGACTACATCAAATTAAAGAGCTTCTGCACAGCAAAAGAGACAATAACAAAAACAAAGAGAAACCCCACCAACTGGGAGAACATTTTTGCACCCAACACTAATGATAAAGGACTGATCACAAAAACCTGCAAAGAGCTGATGAGACTCAGCAACAACAAAGAAAATAATCCAGTCAAAAAATGGGCAGAAGAGCTAAAAAGAAACTTCTCTGAAGAGGAAATGCAAATGGCCAACAGGCATATGAAAAAATGTTCAACATCACTTGTAATCAGGGAAATGCAAATCAAAACTACCATGAGATACCATCTCACACCAGTGAGAATGGCACATATTAAAAAACCTAGCAACAACAAATGTTGGCGAGGGTGTGGAGAAAAAGGAACTCTTCTGCACTGTTGGTGGGAGTGCAAACTGGTCCAACCACTGTGGAGAGCTGTGTGGAGATTTCTAGACCTACTAAACATAGAGCTTCCATATGATCCAGCAATTCCACTCCTAGGTATTTACCCAAAGGACACAGAAACATCAATTCCAAAGAACACCTGCACCCCTATGTTTATAGCAGCACTGTTTACAATAGCTAAGCTTTGGAAACAACCCAAATGCCCAAAAATAGATGACTGGATCAAGAAGATGTGGTACATATATACCATGGAATATTACTCAGCATTCAAAAAAGATAAACACATGCAATTTGCAGCAACATGGATGGTGCTGGAAGGGATCATGCTCAGCGAAATAAGCCAAAAAGAAAAAGGAAAATACTGGATGGTCTCACTCATAGCAGGAATCTAGAAAACTTAAATAAGGGACCAGGGAAATGAATAACTATAAGAAAGTGAAAATCAAAATCAACAAAACACTATGAACCAGAGACACTTTTTTGGGGGGTGGGGGGCGTGAGGGGAAGGATTGGGGTCAGAATGGGGCGTTTGCAATTGTATGGGGGAATATAAAAATAAAATTTATTATTTAAAAAAATAATAAAAAAATAAAAAGGAAAAAAAAGTTTAAGATTCTAAAAAAAAAAAAAAGAATATATTAATTTAATAAATAAACCGACAAAGGGTTTTGCAGCCTTCTAAATAAATAAATAAATAAATAAATAAATAAATAAATAAATAAATCAGGCTACAATTCATCTTGCTGAATTGGTCAGGATTGTCTTGTTCAACCAAGACTGGCTTTGAACCTTTTTTGGTCTTTTACACTAAGGATTTACCCAAACCTTTGAATGTTCTCTGGCATCTCTATGGAGCAATGGAACTGTCCATTTCTCTTCCCTTTCTTCCAAATCCTTATCCAGAACAGGACGCTCTCCTCAGTATCAGTTTATGGTTACTGCCCACCTCTGTGTGCCTGCTATTTTTGTTAAATTTGTCCTGAAACAATCTGAAGTCATACCCAGAGCCTTCTTGATTATCTCAAGCCAATGATGTGACACAGGTCATACCTGCCACATAGGAGCCTCCCTAGGATTGGCAAGGGCTACCATTTTGCCAGAAGCACTATTTTTATTTCAAAAACAGAAGGAGATATTGACACAACCAAGGGCAGCTGATGGTTCATCTGGGTTTTAAATCTTGACTGTCACCTAGAAAGTTGTAGAAAGGGTCCTAAATGCTCCTCAAGTTCCCCCCACTACTCACTGCCCATTCCTTGAATCTTGCAGGAGGCCCAGGTTCTCACCAAAGGTCGGCTTTTCATTCTGGTGAGATTTCTTCTTCATTGAACCTTAACCTGTAGTTAATCTCTAAATATGGGTACTTTATATCTGTTGTGGTTTGTGTTCAGTAGCAGAAAACATGCAGGAACAAAATCACAAATGAGCCTTTCCTTTTCCATTTAACCCCAAAGCTAAATGTTCATAAATCTTAAGCTTACATATTGACCATCAGTGTTAGCACTTCAAGGCAGGTGCAAGCTTGAACTGCCTGTGGAAACTGGAGGCACAGGAAATTCAAACACCAATGGGTGAAATCCAAACCCAGCTTTTCGAATGAGTGGACCCGTCTTGAACTAAATCTCTGCAAGCACATGCTACCAGCTAAACAACTTGCTTGTTAGAATTATCATCAGGTCCATTCACAAATGGTACAATTGCTCTTTGGGCGCTCAGCACTTGGTGACTATGTCAGTAAATAGATTTCCTATGATTTCTCATATAGGTTGCAAAATTCATCTAAATGTAATTGCTACTCAGGCTTTCAACTGGAAAATTAGCATCTTCATATTTTCTGAATGCAAAACAACAACTCCTACTATCCCATATGCCAACATAGGTACCTGTAATTTACAATTTTCCTCTAAGCTCCAACTCTGATACAAATCAGATGCCGGCAAGCAAATAGGAGAGAGAGAGAGAGAGAGAGAGAATACATTCCTTGACTTATACTCCCTGCCTTAGTTGCTTCAGGCTGGTCTGCCTTTTTTGATTAGTACTCAACCAGCAGAAGCCATCTTGACATTCTAATCTAGAAGGAGCACATGGTCTGACATAAAGGCCACATGAGGGTGTGTCTCTCCTAGACAACAGGCCCGTGACCTCTGTTTTCCTCAAGCAAGGGTGACAGGTCAGTCCAGCAGGACTTGTGTCCTGTGACATGCTCTGCTCTCAGACAGGGGTAGGCTGGAGCTGAGTAGCTCACGGCCCTGCTGATGGAGTTTACTTCTCTCACCAGCAGTAACAGTGGCTGGTGCCTTGAGTGGGGGCAGGCATCCCTCTAATGCTGGATGCATAATGTATCACTTCTTCTACTACAGAATTCCCTGCTAGATATGGTTGCTATTATTATTCCCACTTATCAGATGAGGAATCTGAGACACAGAGGAAACAGGTAGCATGGAAAATAGCACTCTGGAGAAGTTAGTCTTGCTTCAGTTTGGAGCAACTAGTGTATCGTTATATTTTTCTGCATTTGATGAGATTTCCCAGCTCTCTCTTTATAGCACTCACAGGCAGGGCTCAAAACACTTTGTCAAAATATTCACCAGCCTAGAAAGCACAGGCATCCAGCTGTCAGGTTAGGTCCTGTGAGCAGCTCAAATCAGGGTTCAGGGAACCCCAGCTCCAAGATGGGTTTACCTTTTTGGCTGCTAGGCCATCAGGGGATTCTCAGGCAATGGGGAAGATGTTACAGAAATATTTCAGTATTTTAAGTATTAAATGATTATAGTAGTTTATATAGAATCAATCGCCTAATATGCTATTGAAATCCCTGATTAAAACAGCCAGTATGGCAGCCTCAATATTACCAGCTCTTCCTTTAAAGGTGGTGGTTCCCCAAATGAACCATCCACTGTCCTTGCCCCAGAAGTGGTAGCTGAGCCCCCCACCCCACGCATGTGTACCTTTCTGGCAGTGCAGGCCCTCAAAGCCCAAGGGGCAGTCACACTCATAGCTGTCCTTCCTGGGCCGGCAGCTGCCCCCGTGGGTGCAGGGGGCCCCCACGCAGGGGTGGGCTGCATTCTCCACGTTCACACCCCACGTAAAGTCATGCTTCATGTGGATGGCTCGGTCGTTCAGGATGATCTAGAGTTGAGAAAATGGAAAGAAATTCAGGTTTTCATAAAACATCTTTGCCTTCTTCTAAAGTTTCCCCCAGCACACTAGCCTGAACTAGGGATCGAGAGGGAGCTTTGCAAATAAGAGAAAAAGTCCATTTCTGGGCTTCTTTGTCTTGTAAGTGTTGGTGGACCTGAAGGGATGATGATGGGCCTTTGGGAGAACATGCAGAGAGCAAAGCATTCTCTGGTTCTGGAAGGACTCAAGGAGGTCATAAGGAAAGATAAAGAATTGGGGTTCTCAATCTGGCTGCACATTAGAATCGCTCAGTTCTGAAAAGAATCAATGGTCTGCATTCCACCTCTGCTGCTAAAGGAAAAAGAATGAAACTAACATCTGGAACTGAAAATCATTTTCCTGCCAGTGTGAGTTGGTCCTAGACATCTGGGTTGGTGAGTCAACCTGTTTGTCATCTGCAGACAGAACATATTCTCATAGCAAGAGAGGTCATGGTGGTCCCAAGAGAAGAAATAAGAGACATATTTGGGGGGTGAGTGCCCTGTATCTCTTGCTAGTTGAGTGTTGTTGTTTTTTTAACTTTCTATCCATGGAAGGACTCTATGGTCTTATGATTCTATGACTGAGGAAATATTGCTAAATTGTTGGGATGGGGATTGGGGGGGTGGAGGTGGATATAAGAGTTGGCTTGTGCCTTGATCAAACTGCAAATTAACCCCAATGAGAAGCAAAGGGCCAAGAGTTGCTATGAGACTCCATTCACCTCTTCTCTTCTGTGGAAGTACCTGCAGTGACTTGATGTCAGTTGTTCCCCCCAATGCCCTCCCCAGTGCCTCCTGCAGTCCCAGGACATTTTGGTGCAATCGCTATAAAAATTCATCTTCACTGAGTTGTACTGATGCATATCTACTGAGTATAGACCCAGGATCAGACATCATAAAAAAGCAGGGTTGCAAAGCTATGCCATGAGTATCAAAAAAATAGAATGCTAGAAAGTTCACCAAGCTACTGTCTTGGGTGCAGGAGATCACATGGATTACAATCCTCAATTCTGTTATCTGCAGTCAGGTTCCCACAAAAAATGAGAAGGCGAAGCTGGTACCTTCTGGATGCTTCCACTAAATGGCTTGAGGATGCCTGAGTTCTTCTTCACATCATCATAGTTGGGGACACCACCAATAAAAATGTCCGTGTTACACTTAATCTGTGTGAAGCCTCCCTGCCAATGGATTAAAAAAACACACACAGTAAAACCTCAGAAAAGGTGGGTAAGACTAGCAAATGGGCTTCGGCTCCCTGTTAGGTCACCAACCACACGGAAGAGACAGTCTTGCGACCCATCAGGACAGCCTGCCTACATACGACCTTGCCTTTCACGTTTTTTAGTGTTACAATACTTCCCAGCTGTGTGGAGTGTTTGTAAATTTCCTAGTATTTCCGAGACTCAGTTTCATCATTCACAAGATGGGAGTCATAAATCTCTCACCACAGATCTGCCAGGATGAATGTGGCAGCCTGCACATTACTGCTGCTGGTGTTCGGGGCCCCTTCAGCAGACCCTGTGGGGTCAAAGAGATCCCAGTCTGTTTGGAGAAAACTCAGAATTAGGGTTCTGTCTAGCAAACAGGGTGGGGCCTTGTGGGGTGAGAGCCGGTTCTCTTTGGCTGCTCATCAAAACCCTCTTGTTGAGAGGAGAGACAGGGCTGCCGCTGCCACACCCACATGGGACCTCAGGGGAAAAGCAAAAGATCCCCCAAAGTGGGGCCTGTTCCAAAGTGAGTTGCTTCCTGTCTGGGTCTGCCACTTCTGTTTGGCTGGAAGGGGTTCAAAACCTGAGCAACACCCTCTGGCTGGGTTGCTCTGTGTCCTAGGAAGCGTGATTCTTGGAGTCCTGCCTGATTCCACTCAACCCTGTCAGCTGAACAAACCCAGGGGGAGGTTTCGCCTGGACAGACCTTTAGGGTTCTTGGTCCTGTGCCAGCCTCCCTATGTGTCCCTGTGCCCCTCCCCCATCGCCCCGGCTCGTCCTTCTCCTTTCTCCCTTCCTCCTTTCTTTATTCCTTCCTCCATCCTTTCTTCGTTCCACAAACACCTATGAAGCATTTTCGAGGGGTGAAGGGTGCTCTTGAAACAGAATTCAGTTTGGGGTTCTTCTGGTTCCCAAAGAGGTTCTTGGTTCCAGGAGGACCTCCCCCAGCTGCCGGCCTCTGAGGCTGGTCCCTCCACAACCAAAGGCCTCTTCCTCACCAAGTCTCTTTTCCCTGGTTTTTTTTTTTTTTTTCCCCTTCTACCAATCCATTGTTTCTAAGAAAACCCAAATTTGCTAATGCCTCCTCAAGTCTTCTGATGCACAAAATGAAGACTAGTAAGAATTAAAATACTGGCAAATCTAAAGTCCCCTCTAGTTTTAGGGAGATGGAATTTTGTGTGTACAGAATCTTAATAGGTTATAATCAAAAGTAAATCTCTTTCCTCAAAAATAGTATTTTCTTGGGCCTCCCCGGTGGTGTAGGTGTTTGAGCGCAGCACTGTGAAGCTGTCCACAGCCTCTCAGCGCAGGTTCGATGCCAGCCGGTCATGGAGAAACCCACATGGCACAGCAGACCTCTCCTGACTCGCCTGCTGCTCCCCTCAGCTGTGTGTTTCAGTCAATCTGCCTGTTCTGTTCCCCACTCTGTCTCTGGTGAATCCTCTCACCCTCCCACATACCTGGCCTGTACCCCGGTTCTTATATGCATGAATAAAATAAATATTAAAAAAATTATTTTCTTTGGACAGGACCTTGGGCAAAATCATGGATGAAAATTATAAACAAGTAGAAATGCTGCATTCTGGAGGGTGTGACAGCACATTCCTAACTAATAAAAGGAAGCCAAACTACATGTTGCCGACCAGTTTCCAGTACTGTTGAGCTGGACACGAATACTCAGTCTAACTTCTATACTCAGTCTAACTTCTACAACTCTATGCAGCAGGCTCCGTTACAGCATCACCAGTATCCCCATTATATAGAGTTAAAAACACAATCTTGGAAGTCAAGTGGCCAGTCTGAGTTCTCACTGCTGGTAAGTGACAGAGCTATGTTCTGAATGCCAGAGTCTGATTTCAGAGTCTGTGTTCTTGCAGGACGTGTGACCCCTTCATTACAGACCCTCCCTCAGATGCTGTCCACAGACATGGACAAAGGCAGGGACTACCCATGGGGGTGAGAGTGGCAGGCAACATTTTAATGCCATGGTTGTATTAGTTTGCTTAATTCTTTTTTTCCAAAGATTTATTTATTTATGAATCAAGAGCTGGGATGTAGGCCAGAGGCATGAGGGGTGAGAGGATTCATCAGAGACAGAGTGGGGAGCAGAACAGGCGGAGCCACTGAAATTCACTGCTGAGGGGAACAATGGGAGAGACAGGAGAGGTCTGTTGCACCATGTGGGTCACTTCCCTGGCTGGGGATTGAACTTGTGCTGCAGTGGCTGCGGATTGCTTCATAGTACTGAGATTTAACCCCATGCACCACCATGGAGGCCCCAGTTTGCTTAATTCTTAAAACAACACTGTGAGGTTCTATGATTATTATTATCTCTACTCACTACTGAGGAATAGAGGAGTTGGTACTGACCCTGTGGGGACCTGGGGTTTTACTAGGGTACCCAGGCACTGATGTCCATGTGCTTAACCACATGATTGCTATTCTTCTCTCCAGAACAGGAAGAAGACAGTCACCTCATTCACACTCACCATCAAGAGCCAAGGTGTATCCTTCTTACCTTTGCCATTCCCTCCACTACCTTCTGTTTATCCACTTGTAAGATACCATTCTTTGCTGTGCGAGATACATGCAGTTCGTGCCAGTGGCCTAGGGTGAGGGGGGCTTCACTCCTGTGAAGAAAGGAAATTAGTGTGGGTGAGCATCATGGGTGCTATGGCAACATCGATGCTTGTCAGTCAAGCTCTGATGAAACTGACCTTGGTCTTCGACACCATGCAGCATTCAGTGAAAGAGAACCGCTGGATGCTTAGTAAACAGGGGGATCAGCTACCTTGATTGGACCCCTTCATGGTAAAGCATTGCTTTTATCATTTGATGTGTTCTTTACAAGAAACTTGAAATGTGGGTATGACTTACATGATTTCCAAGATGAGGAGTCACATGATGGTAAAATAAAACATAATTGGACACACGTCGTAAACAAGATTCCTTGGTCTACTGATATTCTTTAAAATGCATAAAGTCTAAGATGGACTAATGGATGGATGGATAGAGGGACATAAGGATGGAGAGCTAAATGATAAACAAATATAGCAAAACATTAAATGCAGACTATAGTTGGTGGGTATAAGAATGTTTACTATCCAATTTTTTCAACTTTTCTAAATGTTTGATATTTAAAATGGTGGGGTTGGGTGGACAGATTCCATGTTGCCTGATATTTTGAAAAAGATTAAAAGTACTTGAAAAATTCAAGTAATTCAAGGTGGAAGCATTTGAAGCCTAAATGATATTGATAGTTCTACACATTACCTTTTATAGTGAGATGTGCAAAAAGAGTGTAATTATTGCATTTGTATTTCTAATTATATCTAGTTCCTGGCCTTCACTGAACCTCCCAATTATTTTTTGGTCCTGGATCACCTTTAGAAAACCATCAGGAATACCAATGGGTACAATTATTGAAAGGTCTCCACCCCTCAGTTGATTTTTTGCTCTGGCAAATGCTTTTGTGATTTGTCCTTAGCAATTAGAATTTAATCACCTTGGTTAAATCAATATGCAATAAAGAAACTAGTGGCATCTTTTAAGAGGGCCTGTCTCTATAATAACTTACAGCAGCTTAGTCTCTGTCTTGTCCTGCAGAGGTCACTGCCTGTCAGGATGCTGCTGCCCTCTGCACAATTATATTGAGCAGAGTCACGCAGAGCTCTATTTCAGTTGTCTTGATTTTTGAATCCAGTCCAGATCAAATTTGACTACCATACTCAGTTCCTAAAGTTAAAATGATTTGGCCAATTTCACAACTTCCTGCAGTCCATACTTTCACTGAATTTTCTTAATCAATCAGGAAATCTTTGAAATGGTTTCCAAAATAAACATCATGCCAACTGGCATTTGAAATGCTGCCCCCACCCAACCTGTATCGCTGTTGCCAGGTTACCACTGGAGAGGGGATGGGACAGGAGAGCAGAAGGGGAGTTGTTCCTTGCAAAGTGAGTGCTGGCCTCCTTTCTATCACACCTAAAGCTCAAGAATTCTTTTTCCAGGTGCCTTTCCTAATAGGCAGAGAAACAGTAATTTGCATTATTTTGTTGTTGGTGGTGGTATTTAATTGTGTGCTTTACAGGCAGAATGAAAGAGTAAAATGCTGGACTCCTAAGGTTCCATGTATCTGTGACCCCACAGCCAGAGAGGTGCAGGATGGGAAACACAACTTGTCCAGGAGGAGGGCTGATTGGCCCAGCCTCTCCCCTGCCTCTTTCTGGTCATCCCTTATCCAGAGGAAGTCATCTGAAAATACAAGGTGATATTCAAGGTGTCATCCTCCCTCTACTTGACAAATAGTTTTAGGTGACTTGCTTAGACTGGTTTGCATAATCATATGCAAGCTGAACCAATTAAACACCCACCAAAGTTGTCTCGAAACATTGGAGGTTTTGTGTGACCAGAGGAACAAAAATGTTTGTCCATTCCCTAAGGTGAGAGGAGTCACTGATGTGTAGGAATTTAACCATGAGGACAAAAATGAGTTGTCTTTTTAAAGAATTGTTGAAATCTAATGCAATGAATGTTTCCCAGTAGTCATGAAAAATGACCAGCAAAGGGCAATGCCGGGTTGTAACATCTCACCCACATGCTCTTTCTAAAAATGACAGGCTAGTTATGTGAATAGTGATTGAAGATAGCCTGCAATTGTCTTCAAAATAACAACAAACTGATTTCCTGTTGCAGGCACCATTGAGCAAAATGTCCCAGTGAGTTTCAAAAAAGACAAGTTCAACAAGAAGCTTGTTTGCATTAGATTACTGAGGCAGGAACACAGAGAGGGAGCTATAAACTCATCTGCACCCACTAGCCACAGGTTCTGAGGGATTTAGAGATACTGATACACTGAAGAGAAGCAACTGATTTGCTAAATGAATTAATAGTGCAAACCAGATAACAGGAGAAAAGTTTGGAAGACTCAATCAGTTCTGCAGAAACCAGTGAGGTCTTTAGAAGCAGTGGCGGCTGCCTTGCTGTTGAAAGCACCCATCACCAGCCTTTGTGAGCATACTGGTCAAGTCCTGCTTACAACTGGGAGTTTTAAAAAATATAATAGCCAGGGCCTTATTCAGATCAACTGAATCAGAATATCTGATGGTGGGATCTAGTCATTGGTAACTTTTAAAAGTTTTCTGGGTGATTCTAAGATGAAATCATAGTTAAGAGACTTGGCTAGAAACCCCAGGGGGAAGACTTCAAAACAGTGGGTTATGAAGGCAGGTAAAGGAACAGTGCTTCACAGCTGCTGGTGAGTCATCATCAGTTTCCTTAACAGGAGCAGTAAGAGACTGGCTAAGTAACTAGTGACCATCAAAGAAACTGTAGAAGATGGAGTTAACATTTAAAATGAGGCGATAAGAACACTTCTGGTCATTAAATCTTTGTGAATACTTTTGTAGGAGTTGCTCTGTTTGTGCCGAGCACCCACCCAACCATGCTTTGGGCAAGTGCAGAGGAATTACAGCTCATCAAGTTCCTGCTGATGGCACCATGTGATTTCAGGTGGAAGTGAAGGCAGTTTATCACCAGCTGAAGCAAGACCTGTTTCCATAGTTGGAAGCAGAGAATGGCTACCTGTGGTAGTTTGTTGAGTGAAGGAGACCAACAGATTTTATAGGAATGATCTACAGGAATCATGCTATCTGTATGAATCAGAACAGGTTTCAGATAAGGTACGTAGGTAGGGAAGCAAGGTAGAGTGCAAACTTTGGAAGATCAATTGGACTTTTTCCCCAAGTGGCTACTGTTTGGTTTTTGGCAGAAGGGGGTCCTTAAAGGTCTCAGCTTTTGTTAGGGGGAAAAGGATGTCCCAAAGCTAATTCCATATAGGCTTTGTGGACTCCACCCCCACCCCAGGTCAAAGCCAAAGACACTGGGAACTCCAAATCCCATCACCACCAAAGGGAAGGTGGCTGGGACCTGAGGGTGGAGTTCAGCAGCCAGGTGGATATAAAAGGCAGACATGTGGGCTTTGGGGGCCCCCCATTTTTGGCTCTGTGCCAGCTCGCAGCGTCTGGCCAGCTCTGAGAGTGACTTTGGGTTTCCAGGTCGGCGGATTGGGTAGGACGCATTAAAGACTTTATTTCCCTATTTTCTCCCTGAGTTGTACATTTTCCTTATTTCCTTTTCCCTTGTAAATAAACCTTTTATTAACCTTTTGTGTGTGCCTGTAGTGGAGAATTCATAAGTCCCTTTTAAGCGCACGGGTGAGGACCCACAGGCAGGAACCCGTTCAATATCGGGGTTGCTCTATAGCAGCTTGGCGCCCAACGTGCTTTGCAAGTTTCACCCGTGGTTGACCAGCCCAAAGTAATTTTTCTTGCGTTGGTCACAATATCAGGGTTGCTCTATAACACTTTTTTTTTTTTCATAGAGGCATGTTTTATTTATTTATTTATTTGTTTGTTTGTTTGTTTATACATGCACTGGGTACAGTCAGAAGCGCGGGAGGGTGAGAGAATTCACCAGAGCCAGAGCAGGGAGCAGAGCAGGCAGAAGGACCGAAGTACACTGCTGAGGGGAGCAGCGGGTGGCAGGAGAGGTCTGCGCGCCATGCAGGACCCTCCTCCGGTGGCCAGGGAGCAGCCGGGGATGGAACCAGCGCTGCAGAGGTTGCGGGCTTACCTGAGAACACCAGTCCCAGAACCACAGTCAAATCGGAACTCCACGTGACCACCTGCCATGTTGATGGACAGGAAGTCCTTGCTGGCCGTGTCGTAGCTGTACAGGAGGATGCCGTCGCCTGCATCTGGCCGAAATGTGATCTCAAACTCCATGAAGGAAAGGTAGTGCTGGGCCTCTAGCGGCCAGGGCGTGGCAGCGTAGGACCTCAGCGACTCTCTGAACTGAGGTATGACCAGGGTGAAGGCTGAAGAAACAAACAAGTTAGAAGTCCCTCCATGGGGAATTAGCCATGTGCTTTTCCTCCCAGGCTCAGAGCTAAATCACATTTCCCAGCTAACTCCCAGAGAAGTGGATGGTGATTTCTGGCCAGTAGGATGTGGACGGGGTCATTATCCAATGCCCCAGGCCCCATCCTTTAAACCTCTATCAGCCTCTCTGTCTTTCCCTTCCCTCACCTGCTGGCTGGATGCAGGAATCAGTGGAGGACTTTAAGGTCCTAGCAGAGACGCTGCATCCTTGAATGACTATGTGGAGCAGAGAGTGTTAGGGGGAAAAGGCTGTCCTAAAGCTAATTCCATACAGGCTTTGTGGACTCCACCCCCACCCCAGGCCAAAGCCAAAGACACTGGAAACTCCAAATCCCATCACCACCAAAGGGAAGGTGGCTGGGACCTGAGGGTGGGCTTCAGCAGCCAGGTTGAGATAAAAGGCAGACACGTGGGCTTTGGGGGACCCCATTTTGGCTCTCCACCAGCTCCCAGCATCCCGCCAGCTCTGAGAGAGTCTTTGGGTTTCCAGGTCGGCGGATCGGGTAGGACGCATTAAAGACTTTATTTCCCTATTTTCTCCCTGAGTTGTACATTTTCCTTATTTCCTTTTCCCTTGTAAATAAACCTTTTATTAACCTTTTGTGTGTGCCTGCAGTGGAGTATTCATAAGTCCCTTGTAAGCGCGCGGGTGAGGACCCACAGCCAGGAACCCGTTCAATATCGGGGCTGCTCTATAACAAGAGCACCTTCCTGCCACCATTACTGCCCTGCAGTGATATGTGATATGAGCAAGGTGCAACCTTCATTATTGTGTCAAGCTTGGAAAGATGAGACAGCAGGGAACAGCCCTGATTCACCGGTAAAGTTAAAACATGCTCAGTCCTGCATAATTTTCCAAAATTGTTCAAATCTTTAAAATTTTTCATTATTATATGTGTGTCTTCATGTGTACATACATATATACACACATGCACGTATACACAGATGTAGATATAGGCACATACACACACAATAGCACAAAGAGGAAGTGAGATCACCATTGTCCTATCACATTATTGATGTTTCTGTGTATATCTTCCCAGCCTTTTTCCTGAAACTGTCAGTACTCCAAGGTGCACGAGCTATAAATGCTACGAATTTGATGTCATCAGACCACACTATAGGCTTTCAATGTTGTTTGAGGGCCAGGAGGAGCTCACCTGGTTCAAGGAGCACCTTGAACATACCTATGGTGGGTTCAACACTTGCATCCTTGAAGACAATACAATCTACTACGAAAAGATTCTCCATCACTCCCAACAAAACAACATCAATGCAATAAAAATGCATGAGGCTATGCTAAAGGTGCACTGAGAAGTCACACCAACATGCATTAACATGGAGACAGAAACTGCCATCAACTTGCTTCTTTCTCACCGTCTTCGCAATGTCGACCTTTAAATCCAAGGGGGCAGAGGCAGATATAAGCATCAGCTTTCACTGTGGTGCAGGTGCCGCCATTGACACAGGAGGCTTCATCGCAGAGCCCGCTGCTGCATTCCCCTACGGACAGAGTGGGAATTACAAAGCCAGGTCATCATGCCAGCCAGTCCCACACCACAGAACTGACCAAGTCAACAGCTCAGGGTTCCAAATACATGCAATTCAGTTTCAATTCCTATTGATTCGGACCTCTGCAAGCCAGTTTGCAGGGTAAGTAGAGCCTCCCTTCATTTTAATTTGATTTTGGTTTGTTTTTTTTGAAGAGCCACAGAGACTCTTTAAACACGGTAGACACAATAAATCAAATAATAAATTGTTGACTGATTTTATGACCTCTGAATGGATGACTGAGCTGTTTCTGCTTTAATTTATCTCTCTATTGTTCTCAAAAGAGTGTATTTCAAGCCTACCAATGTCAACAGTGTTTATGTTAAAAGCGTTCTCATTTGTGTGGCCCCAATTACCTTAAGTGCTGTTGTCGCCTTGCTGATTCTAAGTGAGGAGAGAGGGATCAGCATTGAAGGAGTTAATGCTAAGCTTACAAGCTGGTTGCTCCTTTCTGAGGCAAGCACTGGGCTGCTGGGGGGTGGGTGGGGGAGGGGGTTGTAGTACCCTAGCATGTGGGTTCCTGAATCCCTATTTCTACCTCAAAGTTATAATGTCATGAGGGGCAGGCAGGAGAGCTGCAGGAAAATGTGCTGAGAGGTTCAACATCAGATGGGCTGGCCCTCGTCCCCAAACCTGCATCAGAGAGGCTCTTAAAAGCTATCAGATGAAGTGAGAACCAACTGGCTTCCCCTGGGGTACTTTTCTTCTGCCTCTTTGTTTTTTGTTTTTTTTTTTAAAGATTATTTATTTATACAAGCACTGGGTACAGTCAGAAGCGCGGGAGGGTGAGAGAATTCACCAGAGCCAGAGCGGGGAGCAGAGCAGGCAGAAGGACCGAAGTACACTGCTGAGGGGAGCAGCGGGTGGCAGGAGAGGTCTGCGCGCCATGTGGGACCCTCCTCCGGTGGCCGGGGAGAAGCCGGGGATTGAACCGGCGCTGCAGAAGCTGCTGGCAGCTTCACAACCCAGCGCTCAACCGCTGCACCACCGGGGAGGCCCTCTTCTGCTTCTTTGTTCTCCTTTTTACCTTGTGTATAAGAGATAAATTAGATGGGCCACAATCTGGCCCAGAGCTATACAGGTGAGTATAAAACACTGTCTCTGTGGAGGTCAAGGAGACACAGGTCAAGGAGGTCAAGGAGACACATCTCTGACTGAGCTATGGGGACCCTAATCCATCCAGGTCTCTTATGCTGCACCTCCATGAGCCAGTAGCCCACCCCCCATGGAGACAAGCGTCCTCCATCTGATTGGGTCGTGTCAGCAGAGCATCCTTCCCTACCAGGCATCTGTGTTTGAACTCACCCCATCTATTCATAAAGCCTCTTTGAGGGGAGGGCAGATGGGCTGGGGCAGTGTGCACCCAGAATTCAATCAAAACTCTTCCAAGGACTTGCCACCCCAGTTGTAATGAGTTGGCATCTGTGAATTCCAAGTGGGGCCACCAGAAGTTCAGGCAGGAGAGGTGGTCTCTCTCCAGCCACCACCCTGAGAGCCAGGCCGGCATTCACATCTCCCCAAGGCTCCACTTTGATCTCAGCAAAACTTTCCCAGGTCCCTGCGATCCACCAATTTCTGTGGGTTAAGATTCCTTCTCGGAGAAGGACTGGTCCCACAGGAAGAAGGGGGGTTCCTTGAGTTATTTTAATATACATGGAAAAAATTATTTTACGAATTTGCTTTGTAACTATTTTTTTTAAGAGGTGGGAATGGGGTGGAGGGTAAAGGCTGGGAAAGCCAGCCAGAGCTGTTCACTTGATGAAAGCAGCGTTTCAGCAAGATTATTCTGGCAATGCAATGAAAGATAGATTGTGAGTGGAAGGGGTGGGAAAGTGGGAAGAAATCCTACGGGGAGGTTAACCCGGACTGGAGGGAATGATCACCCCGGAAATGAGAAGTGAAGGGTCAAGGAGACAGGGAAAGAAGAAATAGCCAGTTCATTCCACAGGTTGAAGATGATGGAAGATTCTAGAATGACCTCAAGGTTGCTAGCTTGGAAGACTGAAAGAATATAGGTAAGAATATACAAGTGAGAGTGTCTGTGACTAGGATCTGGTTTTTGAGGAGCAGAGTTGGGTTTTGCTCAGGGTGCATGTGAGGTGACCTTGGGGACATCCTCTGCTGGGCTCTGAGCAGAGGAGCGGCCCAGTGCAAAGGGCAGGGGTGGATAGGGCAGCGGTGATCTCAGACACTGGGCTCCCTGTGAGAAGACAGGTTAAAAGGGTCCCCAGAGCTCCAGGAAAGTGGGAAAGGTAAGGAGCCAGTAGAGAAGAGAAAGGAAGGACAGGTGAAGGGGAACCCACACAGGGCGGGGGGCAGTCCAGAAGCTTGGGGGTGTGGGGAGCAGGAGCAACGGAAGTAGAGGAGTTAACACGGCTGTGAGGTGGAGGAGCATGAGTCTCGGTGGGTTGTAACAGAGGAGCACTCGCAGCTTTGCTGAGCCCCAGAAGATGGAAGGCAGAAGCCCTATCACAGGAAGGTCAGACTAGCGGCCTGGAATGGGTGCTAGAGTCAGAAGAAGAGAAGATACAGCTTCCCAGGGCCCCCAAATTGGAAGACCAGCAGGGTCGTGGGAAGCTGGGCACTGGCTTCAGCTGGAGCAAGTGTGAATAAGCAGAGCAGGGGGTCTGGAGCTTAGATGGGACAAATTTTCATCATTACTTTCCTAAACTCTCACTGGACTTGAGTATTTCCTTTAGTTATTCATGTAAGCAACCAACCTCTAGGATTAGCAGTTCAAGTGACTTGTGACTGACAGACCACAGTGCCTGTCATATCCTACTCCATGTGCTGCAGATATCTGAAGATACCATGTATGCTCATCCCCACCACATAATAATGATCTTAAATGCTTTATGAAGAAGCACATCATTATAATCTCAAAACTTAAAAATGTATATTTTTATTTCAGTATATTTCTTATCGTGTATCATTTTAAAACATTTTGAGATTGCAAAGTCATGTGTGCACAAAGGGTTAGGGGCCCTTGGGTTATGAGAAAACTTAATCCTAACTGCAAGTTTCCAGGAACTAAGGCAGGAGGGGTGCAGGGTACAGATAAATACATTAGTTTTAGAGAAGAGGAACCCTTTCAACTCAGAGTGGGAACAAGGAGGTTGCAAGATCATGAGTACAGAGAACTGGCAGGGGCTCATCAGGATATGACATATCTTTTGTTGACACTGACATCTGCTATATGTCAGCTGTTGTACAGGCTTATGCAGTGATATGAAGGGCAGAAGAGAAATCAGACTCTCAAGGAGGCAAGAGAAGGCGGGCCATCATGGTGAAGTGCATCAAAGAGCTCAAGGGCAGTGAACAGCCTCCCTACACCTTCTATAACAGAAGCTTGTACTTCCTCCCACCAAGATCAGCCAAATGTGTCCATAGCTCTACCACCATTACCACCTTGGATCAAACACCATTATCTCAATCAAGCTGTTGCTGCTGTCTATGTGTACCCCTGATCGCCCTTTCCAATGAGCTTTCTATAGCTAGGGGAATATTTTCAGAATACAAACTACACCTGAGGACCCCCCTCTCACTCATATTCCCATGGGGACAGGCCACTTTCTCTGCCAGGAATTCACTTCCTTCTCTGGTCTACTTTTTAACTCCTACTCTTATTTCAGATATCAGTTCTGCATTCCATCCTCATAAATGCTTTCTCTGAATTCCAACCTGTAATATTTCCTTAATATTTCCTTACTATCACTTCTTCCTCGTAACACTTACACCCAAGTATAATCTTACATTCACTTGTGTGCTTATTTCATTCATTTGGCCTCTCCTTAGTGCTGGGATCCAGTCTATCATGTTTATTGTTCTATTCCTAACACCAGCATCATGGCCAGCACTAAGCAGGTGCTCAAATAAGCATCTATTGAGTGAAGGAATGAGGACAGAGTGATAATCCAGGGGGATTATCAGGTCACCAGGGGTATCTTGAGACCTCTTGAGTCTTGAATGATGTGGGGAGTTGTAAAGCCAAGTCACTGTTTCAGCAGGGTGTAAAGATGCAAGACAGGATTGGAGAAAGGAAGTAATGAGAATTTGGGTGGAAGTTATCAAAAAGAAGGTTAGGCCAGAGATTGATGGCATTTGCTAAGACTACCAACTATTCTAGAATGTGAGTTGCAGGAAAGTCCAAGAGCTGGGGTAGTCCGATAGAGAAGAATGAGTAACAAAAGGTCCCTTGGGAGAGGGAAAAAAGGTTTGTTGGGGTTGAGAAGGTGGAACAGCAAAAGAAGATGACAATGCCCAGTGAGTGGTGCCAGAGAGAGGAACCACAATTCTCTAACGGACATCACCCTCTTCTAGAAGCCAGTCTCTACTAGAACTTCACCTCTGATTGCGTGAGCCCAGACTCCCCCTTGCATTTAACTTACAAAGACTTGCAAGGACTAATTCAAAGAAAGCAAATATGGAGGTTAAAGAAGGATCATCAGTCCTGTTATTGCACCTCAGAGAGGGAAATAAAAGAAATTTAAAAGAAGGTAACATGACCAGTGCCTGCCACTGAAGTTCATAGAGACAAATTGAATGATCCAATAAACTGCTTCCAGGGAGTCTGGAGCCAGCAAACTGGCCTCTCCTGGTGCTATCTGCTCCATGGAGAGGTTGGTAGCACACTGTGTTAGAATTTGAAACACTGTAAGAAATCCATCCTTGCTCAACTTTGCAGTACATTAGCTTCCTGTCAGAAAGTACCTCAAAACTGCCAGATCTATCCTGTCAGGTCAATGAAGAGAAAAAACAACTTAGACCCTGCTTGATGGGTATAATCAGAATATTACTACCACTACTACTTATGACAACAACAGAAGATATTTATAACATTTTTGCTATGTACAATGCCTAAATACTTTTGACATTTCACAACTCATGTAGATGTAATGATTTTATTAGGTAGCTACCACTTATAGATGTGGAAAGTGAGTCTCAAAAAAGTTAACTAATTTGCCAAATCCAGGACCTCTGCCTTCAGAATTGAGCTCCAGCTGATGGAGTTGCTGGTTCTTATGTTCTAATCATCACAGAGATCTGAAACAGGGATTTTGGAGACAGCCCTTCTACCCATCACAAAAATTAACTCAAAGTGGATCAAATGTCCAATTAGAATCTTTTCTAATGGTTTCAGTAACAGCTATTTACTGTCTGCTTTGACTAAGTAATCAACTGGGAAGGGAAATAGCATAGAAAATAACATGTGGAAAATGATCTTTTCCTTTTAAGTAAAAGGCATCACCATTAGCAGTAAATAAGACAGAAGGAAGCAACTTAAAGCCAGTCTGGGAGCCTCTGCTGTGACAGGTGTGGTGAGGAGGGCAGGTGCCAGAATGGCTGAGGGCATATTTAGGCTCCAGCACTTCTGAGCTATGTGACATTAGACGAGTTACTTAACTGTATCGTTCCACTAGATCACAACTCCAAACACTTGGGCCATAGGTATCTTGGGAAGATTAAAGATTAGTTTAGACTATATAGTGTGTGCTCAACTAATACTAGCTATAAAACAATCTAATCATAGCTGGAGTCGTGAGGATTGAATCTGAATTTTGTCTGAAATGGAGGGCTGGATGGTATGTGGTAAAAGGGACGTGGTAGATGTTAATGGAAGAATCTAGGAGTGTTTACAATGTGTTCCTGTGCATTCTTTCAAACTAACATCTTGGAAACAGAGGGAAATGAGGCTTGAAAAAGGGGCATTCCATTTCCACCTAGGGCTATGTCATGGGAGGATGTGGTGCTCAGCACCGTGGCCTGATCTTGGGATTATGAGTGAAAAGCAAGAGATTCAGAGACACCAGCCCAGAGTTCAGATTTGAGTCACTATTATGAACTGAATTGTGTTGCCCTCAAAATTCATAGGCTGAAGCCCAGTGGAGGCGTATCTGGAAAGAGGGCTTTTGAGGAGGTAATTAAGGCTAAATGAGATCAGAAAAGTGGGACCCTTGTATTTATAAGGTGGGACTGATAACTTTCTAAGACAAGAGAAAAAGATACCAGGAATATACATAGGGTGAAATCATGGGAGAAGCTGGCTACCTGCAAGCCAAAGAAAATGGCTTCAGGAGAAATGAAACCTGCCTTGACTGTGAGTTTGCAGTCTCCAGAACGGTAAGAAGATTTCTGTTGTTTAAGCCACCCAGCCCAGTGCGTGATGTTTTGTTATAGCCCTAGCAAACTAATAGAACCCTTGAATTAACCCACCTTAGAATTACCTACTAGCTGCCTTCAGTGATGGAAAAAATGTCCTGATTGTTTTAAAAATAATCCCAGTCTTTTCAACAAATGGTGTGGAGACAACCAGACATCCGTATGCAAAAACATGAATCTAGAAACAGACTTTACACTCTGCACAAAAAGCAACTTAATATGGATTGCAGACCTAAATGGAAAATGGAAATGCCGACAGGGACAGGCGCATCAGGATGCTCACACATTTGCTGGTAGGGTGGCACAACAGTAAAGCCATTTTGGAAGACAATTGGGTAGTTTCTTACAAAACCAAACATTCTTATTATATAATTCAGCAATCATACTCCTTGGAATTCATTCAAAAGAGTTGAAAATTTATGTGTACACAAAATCAGATATTTATAGACACTCTATTCATAATTGCCAAAATGTGGAAACAAACAAGACATCTTTCAGTAGGAGGAAAATAAACTGTGTATTTCCAGATAAAGAATTTATTATTCAGCATTAAAATCAAATGAACTACCAAGCCATGAAAAAACATGGAGAAACCTTGAAGGTATATGACTAAGTGAAAGAAAGAAATCTGAAAGAAACCTAAATATATGACATTCTAAATATATGATGATTCCAAATATATGACATTTTAAATATCTGATGATCCCAAATATATGACATTCTAAAACAGACAAAATGATGGGGAATCTACAGAAAGCAGTGGGTGTCAGGGGGTAGGGCAGGGGAGGGATGAATAGGCAGATCACAGAGGATTATTATCTCAGGGAAGCTCCTCTGTACGATACCATAATGACGGACATGTCATTTGTTCACACTAACAGAACATGCAACACCATGATTCTATGTCAATGCCATGCAGGCAAGGAAAAATCATTTCCCGCTACCATGCAGGCTCCTTGGCTGAGGACACATCCCCACCCGTCATGAAAAGACAGATTAATGAAAGAGAAAATGCCCCACAATTTCAACTACATACATATGAGAGTCCTATGAAGACACATGACTCAAAACACAGTCAGGCAACTGAGTCTTACATGCCCCCCATAGTTAAGGAAAGGGGGTGGGGCCAGGGCTCCTTAGAGGGGAAGGAATTCATGAGAAGGTGAAGAGAGGTAAGGTGTGGGGAACCAAGGTTGTCCTCTCCAGTAGAGGAGTCTCTCAGATGAAAAACTGATCTCTGGTCACAGTTCCCTTGCAGCTGTCACCCCCACCCCCTTTCCAGGGTCAGTTTTCCTTACACAAGGGCAACTGTTCTTTTCAGAGTTTCCATTGTTTCTTCAGCTTCTCAAAATAATCCTTATATCAAAGAGGTATATCAAGGGGTGGCATGTTCTATAAGTGTCACCATTTCTAACCAACGCCCTCCTCTAGTGGGAAATGTTGGTCATGGGGGAGGCTAAGCATGTAGGGAGTGAGACGGCTTATTCGGGAAATCTCTGTACCTTCCCTTCAGTTTTGCTGTGAATCTTAAACTGTCACCCAAAAATTCTTAATAAAGGAAATAGAAAAAAAAGGAAAAACGATCTTAGCTCTTTTTGCTATTTTGGATAAGTTATTTAACATTTCTAAACTCAGGTTTCTTCATGTATAAAATAGGAATCATGTCTACCTGCTGGAGTTAGCGTGAGGGCTCAAAGAGAGGGCATGTGGGGCAGTGCTTACTTAGCACAGCAGTCAACAATAGGATTTGACTGTGTCGCTTACAAGCAGAGACCATTGGTAAGCTCTTGGACTACTCACTTGGCTTTTCCACTGGACTGGGAAGACAAAGCGAAGCGGTGAGTTGCCCTGCTCAGTGAGGCCATGCCACACTTCCTGCACTAGCTCAGGACAGAGCGGGGCACAGCCAAGGGCTTGGGGCACCATATTATCTACCATGTTGGGATTCAGGCTCAGGGACTGCAGAGTACCCATCTTACCCAATCCTTCCTGACGTTGGACATTAACCAGCTGCCCAGGGTGGCAACCCACCTAACTGCTCACTTCTCTGGCCCCAACCCAAAAGACAACCCACAAACACTCCCCAGCTCACTAGGCAACCACTTACCCACATCAGCCCCGCTGAGTGCTTTCCCCAGGGGCCAGGGCCTCATGTCAATGCTCTTCCCGTTAACGATGAGGGACTGAACACAGCCTTCGAAGCCTCGGTTTGTCCCTGTTGCTCTGACCAACCAGAATGCACTGGGTGCCCCACCAAGGTAGAGAGGTGTCCGGAAGGTAATTTTACTGTATTGGCCCTTTAAGAAAGATGAAAACTGTACCTCAGTAAACAAAATCAAAAGCTGAACACAAAAGATTTTGATGAGAGAGACACGATTAAGATGGAGTTTACAGCCAGTGTTTTCTCCCATCTTCTGGGGAAAGGGGTGTGAGTAATAATGGGGTCAAATGCAGGGTGAGGGGAAAGCATTAGAATTCTGGAGGCAAACAAGGTGATATCTACAGAGAGTGATTTAAGAGACTGTAACCTGAAACCTGTATAATAATAGAGATGCCACTGACTTCAACAACAACAATAAAGACATTGACCTTCTGGGAAATCAAACCCACAGTTCCCATAGGAACTCAGTGAGCTTCTCAGAGGGCTGTTTCCAGAAGGGATGATTTGGGAATGTCTACAAGGGAAGGGAAGGTAGATCAGAGCCAAGAGCAACCTAACAGGCTGTGTACCATGCTGGGCATCCAAAAAAAACTCCCTCTCTCCAGCCCTGACACCCATTGACTGTGTACCTTGGCTGTGCCACAGGCCTATTCTGTGCCCCCAGAGGTGACAGGCCTAATTTTGCCTCTGGGGCTCACATTTATCTTTCCCCGCTCCTGGTCATATTTACACTACATCCTACAAGAAACATTCTTGGGCAGGGGAGGGATTAACAAAGAGATTGTGTTGCAAACTATTTTGAAATTTTCTCACAGATACAATGTTTTTGTAAGTGTTATTACAGTTGGGACATTTCCAATCTTAGACCAAACCACAATCTGGATTATAGGTTTTGAAGTGACAAAATAGGGTTGAACATGAGGTGGGACAAAATTAAGGTGCCCGTGGTCCTTCAACTTTTATTACAGAAATATCTCATTTATTTGGATTAAAGAGTGAAGAAGGGGGTGGGGAAAGGCACACAGTCAGAATTTAAAAATGGCCACAATGTAAACCACTGAAATGTAATCTGTGTCCTTTACACTTTTATTTTCCAAAGTAGAATATCTAATCATCGCTTTCTCTCTATTAATGAATAGACAAAATTCATTTGTAAATAGTATACCATGTAGTAGGCAGCTCTAAAGTACTTACAGTGGATTTAAAAATTGATTAAATTGCTTGCCAGTCACTGCACACTGCTGTCTCAGATGAGTCAAGTGCCCTGTTGGCTTATTTCAGCAAGCTCCTCAGGTGTCATTCCTTCTGGATCCTATCTTCATCCCTCTGGCCCTTTGCCCTGATCCAGGACCACCACAGTAGGGTCCTGAAATCTCAGTTCTATTCTGCACTTCTCATTAAGTGTGCTGTAGGGCTTGGTGGCGACTTTGATGCTCCCTTCACAGAGTCTCAGGCCTGGCCTTGTTCTTCCTCTGCTGGGATTGCCTGTAGAACCCCTGGGGCTGCCCGCCCACCTCTGTGGAGACCTGATAGTGCTCTGGAATTTGCAACTCTCCAGCATGACCTCTAGTAGTTTTTGCTGAAGTATAAAAGTCCAGTTCCCTTGCTTTTGGCTGCAATAATTCAGAGGTATAATTTATATTCCAGAATTCCCTTGTGGGATCAGGCTGAAGTCAGACCCGAAGTCTGAAAGAACTCTGCCTGAGAGCTCACCCTTGCACCTCTTCCTGTCTACCTTTTGCTCACCCTTGCCAGAGAGGCTTAACTACATGCACTTGCGGGCAGCTTTTGCTCACCCTTGCCAGTTTCTTAATGCATCACTTGCATAGAACTCCTCATCTTAGCCCTGCTTTTGGGAAACCCTGATTTTAAGGTCGCTGTACTCCAAGATAGTTTACGAAACATTCCACATATATGGTCCAGTGTATACCACTTGCTTAGCAAGTCTCAGTAGTAGAGAGGCAAATGCCCTGAGTATCCATATAATTATATGTTTCTGGAACTAATACTTATAGTCATTGAAATCATAGACTCTTGGAGTTGGAAAAAAAGTATGAAAACTCATAAGCCAAGTTCCCATTGACCATTGCATTCTTTGTACATCCTTACCAAAGGATTTGGCTAAGCTGTATTTTGAATAAGGATGGGGAACCTTCTCCAAAGAACCTTTGTTGCACCCCTGTATATCTTTGGTGCAGCCAAAGTTGGCTCCCTGTGACTCTCCCAGCTTTAGTGCTGAGGGTCCATAGAGTAAGTCCTTCATCTTTGACTCTCCTTTTGACACTGGGATAAAAAAATCTACCACCCCTGCCTTCATCTTCTCTTCCCCAAACTAAGAAATGTCTGCCAGTCAATCATTTCAGGGATTTCATGCCATCTTCCTGTTCTAGTGACTGTTCTTTGGACATGCTCCAGTTGTCTCTGGCCCTCTTGAGGTATGATCACAGATCTGAATAGAGCTTTCTTAGATAATGGTGACCATTAAAGCACTGAAGGCTACAGATAATTGCCAGAATAGAATGGGATTGTTCCCTCCCTTATTCTAGATGTTATGCCTCTATTAATACAACCTGTAATTTATTTAGCTTACTGATACTGCATTCAATGTTAATCCTCATTGAATTTCCTGGCTGTAAGTTCTGAGACATTTTCACATGTGTTGCTTCCACTAAAACTTCCTCATTCTGTCTTCATGTTAGTACTTTGCTTCCAAATTCAAAACTTCTTTGTTCCTATCAAATTTTATTTTAACATACTAAGGTCTATCCTTCTGGTCTTATGTGTCTCTGTATTTCATTTACCCTGCCTTTTCCTTCCTTAGAAATAGATAAATAAATGATCTCCCTGGATTCACATTCACTGTATTTGGATTCCTGTTCCTTTGAAACCATTGGGGTCCAAATTAATGAGTTTTTTTCCTTTCTTCTTTTTTTTGATCACCCAGGATGGCCTTTACATAACGTATCTTACCAGTAAATAACAGTGAAGAATCCGGGAAGGGAGGAAATGGTGCACATTCACACACAAAGGCTTTTTTGCTACATTTTTCCTCAGAGAATGGGGACACCTGCTTATTTATAATTACAGGCTCCTTTCCTTGGCAGGTTACTAATCCGAACTGTTTATTCCAAACACAACCCTAAAATTGCCCAGAGCATGACAAATATGTGACCACCTAGGTGATTTGCTGAGTTGTCCAACAGTTAAATTGTTTACCACTTCCTATAATCCTGCCCCCACACACCCAAAGGTAGATGAGCGGATTATTCCCACACATTGAGCCAAGTGAACGTCAGGACTATTTTCTGAGGCCACAGGATCACAGCTCTCTCGCCTTAAGAGAAAGCTTTGTGTTTGGCCCCGAGAGTGGCTTTCGTCTCCTGGCATGGGCCTTCCTCGACCCCGGGCATTGATGTCCTTATAGAAAGAGCACATGTCTGTGAGCATGAGGCCCACTGCGTGGCTCCTGCTCCCACAATGAGGATGCTTGTAGTTTCCATTCTTCTCAATAGACATGGGAGATGGGCACAAGCCCTGAGTACCCACATACAGGGGGAAGATGCAGAAGGAGCACAGCAGAGCTCAGGTGTATGGGTTCACCATGTATGAGGACCCACCCAGAGTTTGCCTCCTGCCCAGTCTCCTCAGCTCTCTGCAGTAGGGCCTGCTTGGGAAGCTTATGGTAGGCTCTGGATGGTGGGTAGGGAGTGAAGCGTGCTCACCTGGGACTGGCCTGTTACCGGAGTGCCGTTGTTGAGCCGCAGCAGCCCATTGAGACCATCTCTGTAGAGCGTCACCACGTGCCAGGCCCCCAGTTTCACTTTGGTCTCACTTGTGATGATGGCAACCCCAGTTCCACAATTAAACCTGTGGGAGAGGGAAAAGAAAGGAAGATTCTTTGATTAACTAGCTCATCATGTGTTGAGGCTTTACGGACATCGCTTCCAGGGTAAGGGCTTCTTGAAGAGTCGATCTGTTCAGAGTTCTGCTTACAAATCCCAAGCACTGTTTTAATCTACACGGATGAGCAAGATGCCTCCTGCTTGGTGATGGCAACTTAGTTATAGCTACGCTGTCTGCAGAACCCTGAATGTGGGGCCTTCCCAGCAGCTTAGAAAATGATGGGCAACTAGGTCCTCCCTCTCATTTTCAGAAGTTACCAGATGCTTAAAGTAGATTCAAGGTGCTGTGAATTAGAACTTGAGTTTTCTGCTTTCAGAGACTCCTCAGGGTACTTTCTCCAACTCTCAAATGACAGCTCAGTGATATTAATGAGATGTAAGAAAAATCATGTCTTTGCATTCATCGTGGCAAGCTGGCCAGAGTGGCCATCTGTGTTCATCTGTGCCCATGTACAGGTGTGCTTCCCACAGGAGGCTCCGGTTGAGGGCTGGTATGGGCACAGAGGGAGCATTCTCACCAGGCTGTCTGATTCTTGTTGCTTTCCCCAAATGTCTATGTCCTGGAAGGCCCAACCATCACTATGTCTGACACTAGAATTGTGACCCTTTCTGACCACACAACCACTATGTCACTTCCCCCTTGGGTCCTGAGATTGTCAGTGAGGAAGGATGCCCACCTGCACTGTCCTGAGAGGATCTCACGAATGGTAGCCTTCCTTTGTTTCATGACCCTCGATGGAGTGGGATGGGGTTAAGGTGCATTGTGGGACAGGCTGACCCAGAGGGGATCACAGAAACACCAGCAGCAGTTGCAGAGCTGGGGAGCTGTGACCAGCAACAACTGCTGTGCTACTGACAGTCCATCAATCCTCCAAGTGTTAGCGCCTCACCAGTTTAGAGCTGCTGCCCCAGAGGCTGGTGCTATGTTAACCATCAATAAAAAGAGGGAGGCCCATTTTCAAATCCAAGTGGGATGCTCAGCAATCTGAATTAAATCAAGAATCGTTGATGCTTATTGAGTGCTAGCTACGTGCCAGAGGATGCTCTGAGTACTTCAGTGAGTTAATTCATATAATCCTCACAATAGCCCAAGAGGAAACACTGGCCCTGAGAAGTTCAGTCATTTGCTTAAAGTCAAAAGGCAGGGACTTAATGCTGAGCTCAGGATCTTAACTGGTGAATCTACTCGCACATAGGTGTGATATCCAGCCTCCATGAGGGAGATCAAAATGCTCACACTTCCATAACACTTCCCTGAACGCCACGTGTAAACTGAACGTGGTTTCCAAAGAGCGTTGGGAAAAAATGAGCAGGGCAGAGGAAATAAGCCAGGCAGTTCACCACAGCCCCCAAGGAAAGACAAGGAGGGGATAGGAGTCTCTGGGAACCCCTAACCCTTGAGAGAGTGGAGGCTCCTCTTTGCTGTCCATGGCTGTTAGTCAGAAAAGGACAAGCAGAAGGTGGTTATTCCCACCACATCCACTAGGGTTCCAGCAGGAAAGGGGCTTGGTTGCTTTGACTGGCCATTGCATTCCCAGATGGACAACAGTGCTGGTAACCCGGAGCAACTCAAGAAACATTTGTTGTTGTACGAATGAATGGTTAGAAGTTCCCAAACTCCAGTCACCCTGCAATCCTGATGCTCCAGTATTTAGTAAATGCATCCATGCTCACGATACACACACTCTTACTTTATCTACAGGTACTCATCATATATACATTTCACACTGCAAAAATATAATGTAGGACTGTATTAAAAGATCGTGGGTTTGGTGGGAGTTACCTGAACTGGAGTGAGCGTCGGATGATGGCCAGGGACATGAAATCACCCCTCCCATGTTCATTCTCCCCACAGTAGAGCAGTAAGCCCTCCTCCGCCTCTGCCTGTTACACAAACAAAAGCCACACAAACAATGAGCATCTCCTCCCTCATAAAGCACCACCAGCAAACACTCATGAATGTGAAACCCAGGCATTCTCCTCTATAGTCCTATTTACAAGGGACGAGCATGTAGCTGCCAATCTGCTCCCAGGTACTTGTGCCCACTTCATTTTCAATAAGCAAATGGCAGTCTAAATGGGTGTGAGCAACAGCAGTGATGTGAGCGGAAGGTGGCCCCATACTTGACCTGCTCTTTATTGGTTTAAGGATGCAGTAGCAGAGCCTCAGGAAAAACATGCCTACGCAGACGCTGGTCACAGAAATGCCTTTCCTGTGCTCATTGATTGTGATTCTCCCCTCAGGTCATTCCACTTTTTTTCTCTTTGCTCCCCTCCCTTTGGAGAAGCATGAAAATTTGCTTCTTCCTTCTACTACAAGAGCAGGATGGTAGAGACCCCACTCATGGATTATATGTTTTGCAGCCCTGTTGGCTGTTCTAGACTGGGACAAGTCATCTTTTGGACACTGAAACCTGTGACCATGACCTCAGAGGAGATTCATTTCCAGATTGCCAAGCCTTTCATGTCTTCTGAGATACCCAAAAAATCACTTCAAGCTGAAGCACTGATTGCATTCAGGGTGCAATTGGTGCAGATCAGAGAGTATCTAGGGGTCCTCGTTGTGAGCCAAGGTTATGAGCAGTGCAGCTGTCCATTGGTTCAGCTGCAGCCATAGCAATGAAACAGACATTGGGGCTCCCTTTGCAGGGATCTTGGAATGGAGAATGCACAATGTCTTCTAAAATTCTGGCTTGGGAAGAACATGAGCAACGTGGTTGGGACTGCACATTCTCACTGGCAAACTACTGACCAGCCACTTCCCTCATTTAGTAATACACAGAACCCCTTCTCCCCTTGCTGGCAACCTTGAGTGTGCAAATGTGTCCATCATTCTTGCTACCCTGTGAACTGGGGTATGCACAGGGTCTGTATCATAATGACCTTTGGCATTTACCTCCCTCCTTCTGCTCCCTCCCCCCCATTTTTATGTAGCACATTGTGTGTTAAGATGTTCAAGGCATTCATCAAACAATTCCTCTTACCCTAAATTCAAGAGTAATTTGAAATGCCTGATAGGAATTCTTCAGAGGTTCAAAGGTTACATAAGAGTGGCCAAAGAACTGAGGATACTGTATAACAATATCTGAAAAGAGAAAAAGACAACACAAAAGAGTGTTATTTCCTCACTTCTTCAAATGCAAAAATCAAAATACATCAATGACTGCACATCTGTAGGTAAAAACTTCTGGTCATCTGTCAAACCTAGCTGATGATCTGCCTTTCTCTACCTTTACTCCTACAACTCTCCTTGAAAGCTTTGTGCATCTAAATTTCTTAGGAAGAAACTGGACCTCTGGAAATTTTAACTTACTACTCTAAAAAAAAATCAGTGGCTTTTGAATTACTGATACCCGTTTTCCAGCTGTATATTTGTGTGACATAAACTGATTATTGTCTTTTTGAACCAACTGCATGCACATGTTTTGGCTGCATTTCTTTAGCAGAGACGTGTTCACACTAAGCCCGACTGCCAAAGGGGATGTCCCAATAATTTATTAGGTGGTCCAAAGTACTGCACCTTTGACATGAATCAAATGTGTTGTTGTCTTACTAGAAGCAAGGGAAGCTGCCTCACAATTGGCTTGACATGGCTAACTTATTCACCAATTCATGGGTGAATAGGGTTTACACAGAACCGTGTCTAGACCACAAGATTGCCCTCTGGTTCCCGACTGGGACAACCCACCACCGTGCCCTCCCCTACCAAGGGCATACCTTCTGAGCAGCTCTCACCACCTTTGCCCAGGTTGCAGTGGCATCTTGAGCCCCCCCAGGTGTAGTCATTGACACAAAAACTGTCAGCAGGGCAGAGGGCTTCATCGCAAGACATATCAAAGAGCCTGGGCATCAGAGCCACATTATTCTTGCCTTTCTTCTCCACAGGGGTGGGCTGGAAAGCCGCTGTATTAGGGAGAGATGCTGGGGTAGGGGGCACATGCATAGAAGCAGTGTTTGGGTTCGATATAGGTGCCACATGGGGTTCTACCAACAATTTCTTATTCCCTCCTTTGATAGCAGGAAGTGGTTTAACCTAAAGCCAGAGAAAGAAAAAGATTCAGGATTCACACAGAGCAGTCACTAGATTGCCTTCTTTATGGTTGGTATCTTGAAAATATAGTCACTTTTGAAACTCCCCAACCTCCTGGGATGTAGAAAGAGCAGATAGCACTGACCCCAGTTTATGGATTAAGAACTCGAGGCTCAGGATTTTAAGTATCTTGTCCTATATTGCTCAGAAAATCAGTGGCAAAGCTGTTTTTACATGATTTATTTTTATTCTAATACCACAGAGATAAATTACTTTGTCAAGGAATTATCCATTTTCTTCTAATACCTAACTTTATAAAATTTTCACTTGGTGCAAAATCTAAATGTATTTTTGCCACATTGTCAAGTCAGCAGGCAGGAGCTAACTATAGAATACCAGCATGGCTGGTACTTAGTTACTACTAATTTATGATCACCTGGAGCCTAATAGTCAGAGGAAATAAATAAGTGCTAAAAGCAAATGTAAGTAAAATTTAAGTAAAATGTTCATGGGCCATTAGCTAAATTGCCTTCTTCAGCAAGAAAATAAAAACACCCTGTGTTTTAAGAGCAGAGATTTTTTTTTTACCTCTTCAAAGGAAATATCCAAATCTAAGTCATCATCATCATCTCCTTCATCATCCTCGCCAGCTCCTGAGTTGGTTCTATAATGGGGTCCATAGCTGCCACTTCCTTCTTCTTGGGGACCTTGACAGAGAAAAGCAGCACAGCACTGTCAACATGTACCTTCGAGCCCTTTCCTAATGCAGCCACATACAGAGCTATGCTGAGCACATCAGGATGCATTAGAAAAATGCAAGGAATTCAACAGGAACGCCATCCATGACCCCAAAATATGAAAAATGTTTTCTCATACAAATAAAAACCAGAATGAATGGTCATTTTATACGGACACAATTGGCAAAATCATAAAAGTCAGGGAATAAGAAATATTTCTAAAGACAGGATAAATAGGGCCTCTTTCACACTGATGTGAGATGTGTAAGCTAATACAGACACTTTGCAAAAGACTCGGAAAAACTGAAAAAGGTAGAAATGTTCACCTTTGACGCAGTAAATTCATGCCAACTTTATAGAATCTGGAAAAACTCTTCTACATTTATATCAGGAGACTGTGTGTAACACATTATAATAACAGAATTTGTAATGGTTAAAAATAAAACACTCCAAATGTGTTACTAGTAATAGCAAGTAGCAGTTCAGAAAGTCTATCAACAGAGAATGGACACCTAATTATAATATATCTATGGAATGGAATACTATGCAGCAGGGAAAATGAATGAATGAGTATTTAATGCATGGATATGGCTCTAGCTCATGATCTCATGTAAAAATGTCCAAGTTACAGAAGAATACATCCATTTGATACAATTTATATAAAAATCAACAGCAAGTAAAATTTACTAATTATTTAGGGATCCATATTTACGTGGTTTAAACTTAAAAAAAGTAAGACTGACAAAATTATCTTGGGGAGGTCAAAAGAAGAGGTGAATGAGTAGGATATATAGGGGCCTTCACAACTAGTCTATTATATTCTACTTCTTAAGCTAGGTGATGGGTACATGTGAGTGCTCACATTATTTTATAAAAATTACATATGCACTTTTGATGTGTGAACTATTTAGTTAAAAGTTCTTTAGAATAATACAGACATTATAATAGAGGAGACATTCCCACACCCCAAAACAGGGCCTTATGTGGTATCTTGGGGGAGGGTGACCATTTCCAATAATCTTAGCAGGACAGTGGGCTCTTTCAGAGCTGGAACGCGGGCTGAGAAAAACATCAGGGACAATACAGTCATTGTCCTTTGGGAGATGGTCAGAGAAGCATCTTTGTGCACTTGTCATCCACAGTATCTACTAACTTAGGTTTAACACTGGCAGCACTTCCCAAGGATGTGGGAGTCTTTCAAAGTATTGTTCCACAGTGCCCCCAGCTCCCTCCAGTGGGTCTGGGTAAATGCAGGCCCAGCTGCTTTCTCTAAACAAGATACACCAGCCAGGCACCAGCACGAAGGGCAATACAACTCTGGCAACATAAATGAACTTTTTTTTTAAAGATTTATTTTATTTATACAAGAACCAGGCTACAGACTAGATGTGTGGGGGCGGGGGGGGGGGGGTGAGAGAATTCACCAAAAACAGAGTGGGGAACAGAACAGGCAGTCTGACTGAAATACACTGCTGAGAGGAGCAGCGGGCAAGACAGGAGAGGTCTGCTTGCCGTGTAGGTTGCTCCGAGGCCAGCGGAGATCAAATTGGCACTGCAGAGGCTGTGGGCAGCTTCACAGCGCTGTGCTCAACCACCTGTGCCACCAGGGAGGCCCATAAATGAACTTTTGTGGGTTGCTGACCCTATTAGTTATCAGACATCCAGTGTTTAGATAACTGGCTTGAAAGAAAGAAAGTAATTTATTATCAAAGACATAAATTAAACCTATAGACATTCTGCTTTCGGAAAAAGCAAAGTCAAATTGCTCTCTCACAAAAGCAAACTCACTTTCCACTGAGCAAAATAGTAAGCCAACTGCCAGCAGGGCAGAGGGAAAAGAAAGAAAGAGAGTGTGGGAAATGTCAGAGCACACCACTGGCCAGAAATCTCTGGGACCAGGAAGAGAGAAACATGGCCTGGAGGCAGTGGGGGAGGAGCTGTTTCCAGGTGTTGGGGTGCATCTTAGTGGAGGTGGGATAATACAGGGGAGATGGCATTTTTACCAACTCCTCACCAATTCCCTGAAGTTTTGATTAAAATAGTCCACATTTTAGCTGAAAATTCAAGTCTGTGGATGCCAGATTTACACCTGGATTAAAGTCCCAGCCAGGGCAGCTGCATCCAGTCTGTACAGCTGTGTGCCAGATGTTTTCACACCAAAAGCCAGAAAGCTCATGAAGAGAGCTTCCCCTTCTCTTGTCTCTTTGGAACTGTATCTTTCTGCCTCTCTCCCTACTTCTGTCTCTCATTCTCTGGGTCTCTCTCTCTCTCTCTTTTTTTTTTTTTTTTCTCTTCTCCTTTCTCTCTTTACCTTGCTGAATTTCAGAAGAGTCCAGTGGTAATAAAAGGATCGTATAACATATACATGATACGAACTGGGTTTTGCCTTCAATAGGTTGGTCTTGCCACTTCTGAGTGTTCTCTCTTGCCCTGCACATTCTTGCCAATATTGCTTTATTCTCATCAATATCAAGATTTTTTCATCTCATCTTATGAAACCCTGTCTAGAAAAAAAAAAAACCTTCAAGCGCAGTGACTGTCAATAAATCCTCGGTTCCTTGGGCAAGAATTCAAGGATCTCAATAACTCTTTATCCTCCTCCTTCCCCCCATCACCACTGTTTATGGAAACCGACTGCCTCTCCCCAACTTAGGAGGCACCACTGGGTGCTTAACATAATACAGTGCTAAACTTTACAATAATCCTGCAAGGTGAGTATGGTTAATTTCATTTTTGTAGATTAAGTAAACTGAAACTCAGGGATTAAGTGATTTGACTAAGATCAAAGACTTCTAAGTGGCCAAGCTGAACTCAAAGCCAAATTTGCCTATTGTTGTTTTTCCAGGTCTTGGAAGAGAAGCAGAAACTATGGAGGTCAAGAGCCTGGGCGGTAAAAATTAACATCTACTGATCATTTTACTGTGCTAGGAGCTTCTCATGCATTTTTTTATTAACACTCACATAACCCTGTGAAATTTCCACTTTGCCATGTGGAGATATAAACTCAAAAAGATTAAATAATTTGCTCAAAGGCAAATATGCAACAAACAGCAGAGCTAGAATTTATACTTGGTCTCTGTTTTGATTACACCACAGCACTTATTAGAATCAGATTCCACTCTCGCTCTTTCTTTGAGCAAATGGAAGCCCCAACTTTTTGGAGTCAGAGCCACCATTTTCCTCAAAGAGTTCAATGTTCACTTTTTAAAATATCTCTTGACTTTGGTCTTTTGATGATATACAGAAGAGAGGACACAGGAGAGGGAAAAGGATGGCGATGTGGAAAAGGGCATTAACCAAAGTCTTGGGATCAGAAAACGCCAGTTGGGAGTCAACCAGTAGATCATTTTGGCTTTTACACCCCACAGAAGATCAGGTTCCCTTCTTGCATATTCTGATAATCCTCTTTTATAACATTATTAGCTAGTAATTACATATTTATTTGTGGGATGATTTCATAAATGACTTTCCCACTAGACTGTAAACTCCTTGAATAAAGCAATATTGTCTATTTCCATTTACCACCTAAACCTCACTGCCTATCTGGCACATGGAAGGAACTAACAAAATACATGGTGAATAAATATCCACCTTTTGGAATAATTTAGGTAAAATAACACACAACAGCAGTATTCATCTGGGTTCTTAAAAGCAATAATCCAGGCACAAGAGGACCCACACAAAGAGTTTACAAGCTACTAATAATTCTTTCCAGAATCTGAAAGTAATTATGCCACAGAACTTTCCTGGAAAATAATGCATATCCAAAGCCCCTCCTGGGGTTGGCCTTCCAAGGGGCTCTTCTGCATTAATTACTTTGGCTCAGGCTACATGCTTTAAGTGACATCAGTCCTGCCACCCTCGCCAAAAAGTGACTGAACCAGGAGCTATGCCTGAGCCTAAGACAACCACATCCAGACCAATGACCCCTGAAGGACCTCAATGTGAAAATCTACCCAAACGGGACTTTATAGTGGAGGGCAAGGCAGGTGCTCCAACCTCAAGCTTTTCTTCCTCACCTGCTTCTGCTGTAGGTACTATGAAAGCTAAACACTGGATTTCTGCACTTCTTTCACACCTACAGGCAGTCATGTGCCAGCCTGGGTGCAAGTGGAAGACCACTAGACCTTCCTTTTTCTCCTATATTGATTTTGGCAATGGAGGTGGTTGTGATGGCGGGAACCATTGCAGCCAATGTTTTCCTAATTAAAATAGGAGAGCTTGAACACCTCAGTGAGACCCTGGCTCTTGGGAAGTATGCCAGCAGGGTGTCTGCTGAGGGGTGGGGCACAGAGCTCAGCTGTGATCCCAAGGCCAGTGGGCAGGACTTCCAATCTGCATGCTCAGCATTAGCCATGGCTGCTCAAGGACTCAGAGACTCTGCAGGCGTGTTGAATGGGTTCCTTACTCTTCTTTCTCCCAAACAATCTTCTTGAATCTTTTCCTCTAACATAAATGAAACTAACTCAGGAACATGTTTCTCTGGCACCAGGGGTGGTGTGGCTGGGACAGAACAGCTCTAAGTCCCTACCACGGGCACATGTGTTTGTTTTCTCTGCTTGTCACACTTGCGAAACTCTTATTTGAGCACATTCTAAAAGCACACTCCAGGTGCCAAGTGACTTCCAAGCTCCTCAGCTCAAAGTATCTCCAACTCCTTTATCATTATACAGACAAAGGAAGTGCCCTGTAGGGGTGCAGTCCCCCAAAGAACATGAGCCACCACCCCAGCATAAGTCACTGTACCTTTCTCCTTCAGAGCCCCCCCTTTCTAAAAATAAAGGGGCCCTGGAAAGTTAGGCAAATGGCAAGGAGCCAAGGTGTTAGGCCTTGCTTCCCTGCTACCTGCTGCTGGGGGAGACACACAGGAAAGCACAATGTGAAGAGGCTCTGAACACAGCAGGCAACGCGAAAGCTGTGTTTTCACTATGGTGTGCGGGAATTGCAGGCCTAGAATCTTTGTTCCTTCA